AAGAATTGAGTTAATCTACAAGGATTTGTGCAAGAAATTCTCATGTGCCATAAAAAACAGGAAGTAGTTAGCTAGGTTTCTGAGTTGTGTGCATATTTTGTGAATTTGTTGTTCATTCGTTCAGTCGTCTCCGACTCTTCGTGACCTCATGGACCATCCCACGCCAGAGCTCCCTGTTGGCCGTCACCACTCCCAGCTCCTTCAAGGTCAATCCAATCACTTCAAGGATGCCATCCATCCATCTTGCCCTTGGTTGGCCCCTCTTCCTTTTTCCTTCCATTTTCCCCAGCATCAGTGTTTTCTCTAAGCTTTCCTTTTTCTCATGATGTGGCCAAAGTACTTCATCTTTGCTTCTAGTATCCTTCCCTCCAATGAGCAGTCGGGCTTTATTTCCTGAAGTATGGATTGGCTGGATCTCTCACAGTCCAAGGCACTCTCAGAATTTTCCTCCAACACCACAGTTTAAAAGCATCTATCTTCTTTTGCTCAGTCTTCCTTACAGTCCAGCTCTCACATCTATGGGGAATACCATTGCTTTGACTATGTGGATCTTCGTTGCCAGTGTGATACACAGTATTTTGTGAATACATACACTTACTAGTTTTAAAGCAGAGCTTGTGCTGTCTTACCCATCCTGAAACCACATCTGCCAGGAGGATTCATAGAATCAAGAGAAATATGATAGAAGAGCTCTGAGGAGCTTATATCTCATAACTTTATCTCCAAGCCAGTATTCCTTAACTTGTGGCCTTCCTCTAACGTGTTTAACTATAGCCAGCACTGGCCATACCTAGGAAGAAGATGGAAACTGCCATACAGCAAATCTGGAAGGTCCTACATTGGGAAAACCCATTTCTCTGGTTAGACATCTTTTGCTGTTTGGTTCTAGGGCCCTGCAATGATACCAAAATCAATGGATGTTCAAGTCCCATTTTATACAATGGCATAGTCAAATTCTGCCCCTTGTATAAAATGGCAAAATCAAATATTTGCTTTTTGGAAGTAACAATATATTTTCAAGCCATCAATAACACTGTAACAAAACATCAAAAAATGTTCTGTTCCTGGTTTGAAAGGGTTTTTTATTTCTTGTTTAATTGTGCAGTACTTCCTTTGAAATTAGTTGTTATACTCCAGAAACTAAGTTTTTGTGGCAGCCACAAACTGTTGAATTGGTTGCAACTTGGTAAGATAGTTACTGAAAAACTAGAGCAAAATGTGCTGCAGCATGTCCCGCGAAACCAAAGTTTTTGCAGTTTAATACACTTTCCCTATGTTTTATGATGGAACCAATTAAGAAATGACCTTTATAACCCAGGAACAAAATGTGTTACATAATGTATCGAATCTGTAGGTGTAAAATCCATGAAAAAATAATATTGACTGTATATTAATAGCAGAGCTTGAGGTTATAATGCACACAACTGTGTCAAGAGTCATACAGCCTTCTCAGTGGTGGCCCCTTGGCTATGGAACGCCTTTCCTAGGGTCATTAGATCGGTCCCCTCCCTTTTAACATTCCAAAAAAAGTCAAGACGTGGCAATCAAGTGGAAACTGGATAGGCGAGTTAGATGAGAGGAGGGGATTTGGGGTGTGGGAAAGGGATGGATGGAGAGGGATGAGGGCTATTCGAGCAAGAGTTTGAAAATGCAGTGTAACAAACATAGGAAGATTGACCAACTGGATGATGAGATTGGATAATATTTTAACTAGGAGATGCAAATGATTTATGTTTTACTGATCTTGTTATGGTTTTATATTATACTAGCCGTCCCCTGCCACGCATTGCTGTGGCCCAGCCTGGTGATCTGGAAAATAAAGTACTGATAAAGTGTTGGTTTCTAACATATGCCATTTCTTTATGCTTGTGGGTAAACAGTATTTCTTGTTATTTCTTTGTCAGTGTTGATGTGGAGATTGTCTGGTTTGCCTACTCTGGAACATATTAATTTGTATTAATGTATTATGATGCTATTATGTTTACTCTGTTTGTATATGAATTTTCTGCTGTTAGCCAGCCTGAGTCCCTCTTTGGAGGTTGAGAAGACCGGGTTATAAAAGCTCTAAATAAATAAATAAATAAATAAATAAATAAATAAATACAACATATAGTTGTCCTTCTTTAGGGGTCCCTTTCAAATCTATGATACTATATTTGTGTGTGTGAATAATATCTATCTATCTATATCTATAGCTGGATGGCTCTTTGTCATGAGGGCTTTGATTACGTTTTCTTGCCCTGGTGAAGAGCGTTGGACCGAATGGCCTTAAGTATTTTCTGTTGGACTGCGAGAAGATCCAACCAGTCCATCCTTCAGGAAATAAAGCCCGACTGCTCATTGGAGGGAAGGATACTAGAGACAAAGTTGAAGTACTTTGGCCACATCATGAGGAGACAGCAAAGCCTAGAGAAGACATTTATGCTGGCGAAAGTGGAAGGTAAAAGGAAAAGGGGCCGAGCAAGGGCAAGATGGATGGATGGCTTCCTTGAAGTGACTGGACTGACCTTGAAGGAGCTGGGGGTGGTGACGGCCGACAGGGAGCTCTGGCGTGGGCTGGTCCGTGAGGTCACGAAGAGTCGGAGATGACTGAACGAATGAACAACAACAAAATGGGGGTTCAGTGTGGGAAGTTTGCCCCGATTCTGTCATTGGTGGGGTTCAGAATGCTCTTTGATTGTAGGTGAACTAGAAATCCCAGCAACTACAACTCTTAAATCCACCTGTGTTCATATTTGGGCATATGAAATATTCATGCCAAGTTTGGTCCAGATCCATCATTGTTTGAGTCCACAGTGCTCTCTGGATGTAGGTGAACTACAACTCCCAAACTCAAGGTCAATGCCCACCAAACCCTTCTAGTGTTTTCTGTTGGTCATGGGAGTTCTGTATGCCACGTTTGATTCAATTCCATCGTTGGTGGAGTTCAGAATGTTCTTTGATTCTAGGTTAACTATAAATCCCAGCAACTACAACTCCCAAATGACAAAATCAATGTTTTAGTGATGGTCACTCCTTGGGTGAGTAGGTGTCTTGTGGCCGAATTTGGCGGCAATTCATCCAAGTGGTTTTTGAGTTCTGTTAATCCCACAAACGAACATTACATTTTTATTTATATAGATGTTAATTTTTAAAAATATTTTAATGGTGTTGTTGGGCATTGAAATGTTGCCTTTGTAAATCTCCTTGAGTCGCCAAATGCAATAAATAAATAAATGGACTATACAAAGTATGTGTTCCTTCCTGAGCAAAGCAACCACAAGCACACAGCTTGCAGCATCCCATTTATTACTGGAAGTCCAGTCTGTATTGTGCACTAGATGGCATCATGTTCCTCCAGCTTCCATGAAGGTAAAGCCAGGATACCATTGTGTGACCTCCTCAAACTTCCCTGGATATGCTGACATTCCTCCTGGCATCTCTGTGGTACTTTCCAATTGTACACATCTACTTGAAGAGGGAGCTTCCCCTTAATAATCCTGACTTAAGAGACATTCATGGAGAAAATACTGAATCTCAATGAGAAGATAAATCAAAGCCAGTTATTTGATTCTTGCTCTTCCAGTAGATGACTGATAGCAATTTGTCACCCTTCAAGAGGATACAGACCATTCACTTTCCACTGTATCACCTACCTTTTTTAACCCTTCCCTTATGAGGACATGAGAGAAGCCTCCCACAGAATAGTAAAACATCCAGGCGTCTCCTGGGCAATGTCCCTGCAGATGGCCAATTCTCTCACACCAAAAGCAACTTGCAGTTTCTCAAGTCGCTCCTGACATGAAAAAAAGTACAAGTTACTACTCCCAGAAGCCCTAATGAGGCTGTTCAATTGCCAGGAATTCTGGGAGTTGAAGGCCCAAACAGCTGGAGGGCTGCAGTTTGAGGATGCCTGGGTTAAACCCTTGTGCTGGCAGGATTGCTGACCAAAAGGTTGGTGGTTTGAATTTGGGGAGCGGGGCGAGCTTCCATCTGTCAGCTCCAGCTTCCCTTGTGAGGACATGAGAGAAGCCTCCTACAGAATAGTAAAACATCCAGGCGTCTCCTGGGCAATGTCCCTGCAGACCAATTCTCTCACACCAGAAGCAACTTGCAATTTCTCAAGTCGCTCCTGACACGAAAAAAAGTACAAGTTACTACTCCCAGAAGCCCTAATGAGGCTGTTCAATTGCCAGGAATTCTGGGAGTTGAAGGCCCAAACAGCTGGAGGGCAGCAATTTGAGTGTTTTTAATGTTTTGATTTGATTTTGCTGTGTTGCTTATTGTATTGGTTTTGTATTTTATGTATTTTATGTTTTTGGTTTTGTTATGTTTCTGTATTATATTGGGTTTATTATTATTATTATTATTATTATTATTATTATTATTAACTTTATTTGTACCCCGCTAGCATCTCCCGCAGGACTCGATGCGGCTTACACAGGCCGAAGCCTCAACACAATACAATAAAAGCATAACACAATAATAAACAAGCAAGGTTTACTGTATTGATCGGCATGGCCTCATGTAAGCCACGCCGAGTCCCCCTGGGGGAGATGGAGCAGGGTATAAATAAAGTTTATTATTATTATTGTTATTATTATTATTATTACTATTGAGGATACCTGGGTTAAATCCTTGTGCTGGCAGGACTGCTGACCGAAAGGTCAGTGGTTCGAATTTGGGGAGCAGGGTGAGCTCCCGCCAGTCAGCTCCAGCTTCCCTTGTGAGGACATGAGAGAAGCCTCCCACAGAATAGTAAAACATCCAGGCGTCTCCTGGGCAATGTCCCTACAGAAGGCCAATTCTCTCACACCAGAAGCAACTTGCAGTTTCTCAAGTCGCTCCCGACACAGGAAAAAAAAGTACAAGTTACTACGCAAGTCACATTCTTGGAAGACTGTGAATCAGCTCATGGAAGGCCTTTGCCATTTTGTGTCTTTCTACATCCAAAGCATAAGGCCGCAACCTCAACACTGGCAAGGTATAATGAAAAGAATAGTCAGCATTCTTTCACAAGCTTCACTTGTAGAAAATTTATATAAAAATAACCAAACAGGTCTCAATCGTACATCAAGGTATTTTTTTTTTGTCTGACACAGAGTATTCTGACACCGGGATCTGTCTGCCTGGGCTGTGTCTCAGACTCTCTTCTCAAGGACTAACCGCTGCCATCCCCTCCTCTTAGCAGATAAATGGATCCTTGTATGGTACCGATTGTTCAGAGAATAAAACTTCTCTTACATAAACACGGATGTTAACACCTGCAACATTTTTTTCTAAAAAAGAGGGGCAGGGGTGATGGGAGGACAAGCAAACTGAACTGTTTCCATACTGAGTTCCCCATGCTGCTGAGAGTGTTTACTTTATGTCTTGCCACAAGGTATTGGAGAAAACCCACACCCTCAAAACCTTGAGGAAGGGAGAGGTCTTCTCCTCCCACCATGCTCACATCCAATGCCCTCTTTCCTACAGCCTCTCCCCTTCCCCACCCCGGCTTCCTCCGCAGGGTCATAGCTCGTCGCGGGCTGCACTGTCGAGAGGGGACTGGAGCACATCAGTGTTCCTGGCCTCACTGCTCAGCTCCTGCTGTTCCTTCATCTTCTGGGACTTCGCCCGGTCCCAGTCGGTTTTGATGTTCTCATTGTCCCACACCACAGAGGTCTCTGTGTCACTGATGTAACCGTCGTCGCCTGTGTAATGGGTTGGGTAGACCAGCAAGGGCTCAACGGAGAAGGCCAGCAGGTTCCGATTCTCAAAGTGCTCCATGTAGTCCGAGCTGTGGGAAGGAGAAGAGGCAGAGGTGAGATGGAAAGAAGCTTTTTCCTTGCTACACATATAAATTTATTTATTTACTAGCTGTTCCCTGCCACACGTTGCTGTGGCCCGCTCTGGTGGTCATGGGGGTTTTGTGTGGGAGGTTTGACCCAATTCTATCGTTGGTGGAGTTCAGAATGCTCTTTGATTGTAAGTGAACTACAAATCTCAGCAACTACAACTCCCAAATGTCAAGATTATATTTTCCCCAAACTCCACCAGTGTTCACGTTTGGGCATATTGCGTATTCGTGTAGAGTTAGGTCCAGATCCATCATTGTTTGAATCCATAGTGATCTCTGGATGTAGGTGAACTACAACTCCAAAACCAAAGGACACTGCCCACCAAACACTTCCAGTATTTTCTGTTGGTCATGGGAGAACTGTGTACCAAGTTTGGTTCAATTCCATCATTGGTGGGGTTTAGAATGCTCTTTGATTGTAGGTGAACTATAAATCCCAGCAACTACAACTCCCAAATGACATTTTTTTGAGTGAAGGACATACATTGGGTTGTTAGGTGTCTTGTGTCCAAATTTGGTGTCAATTCGTCCAGTGGTTTTTGAGTTCTGTTAATCCCACAAACGAACATTACATTTTTATTTATATAGATTTATTTGCTGCATTTCTATACTGCCCTTCTCAGCCCTCAGGAGACTCAGGGCGGTTTACAATGGCAAGGATTCGATGCCCAAAAACACCATAAAACATTTAAAAACATTAACACATAACATAAAACCATAACAACAGTATTGAAACATAGATCATTTGCGTCTCTTAATAAAAAACATTGTCCCATCTCGTCGTCCAGTCGTTCCAATTCCTATGTCTTTTACCTTGCATTTTCAAATGCTTGCTCAAACAACCAAGTCTTGACTCTTTTCCGAAATGTTAAGAGGGAGGGGGCTGATCTAATGTCCCCAGGAAGGGTGTTCCATGGATGAGGGGCCACCACTGAGAAGGCCCTGTCTCTCCTCCCCACCAAACATTTTTGTGATGCAGGCGGGATCGAGAGCAGGGCCTCTTTGGACGATCTTAAAGTCCTAGCAGGTTCATAAGGGAAGATGCGTTTAGACAGGTAAGTTGGGCCAGAACCGTTTAGGGCTTTATAGGCTGAATTGTGCCCGGTAGCAAACTGGCAGCCAGTGGAGCTGGTGCAACAGAGGAGTTGTATACTCCTTGAGCATTGTTCCTGTTAGTAATCTGGCTGCCGTCCATTGGACCATTTTACCTGTCTGAACGTATTCTCCCCTATGAACCATCTAGGTTGTTAAGATCGTCTGGAGGGGCCCTGCTCTCGGTCCCACCGGCCTCTCAGGCGCGTCTGGTAGGGACGAGGGACAGGGCCTTCTTGATGGTGGCCCCTCGACTCTGGAACTCTCTCCCACTGGAGATCAGAACTGCCCCCTCCATTCTGTCGTTCAGAAAACGGGTGAAAACCTGGCTATGGGGTTTGGCTTTCGACGAGTGAATCAATATTTCTGTGATCGGATAGATGATGATGAATGATGGACAACGAATTCACTATGACGACTGACCATTGTTATTATGTGATTGCATTTTGCTGTTATAACGTTTTAATTGAATATGTTATATGATGTTTTTAATGATTGTTTTGTGATTTTATTGTTGGAAACCGGCCCGAGTCCCCCGATAGAGGGGAGAAGACCAGTATACAAAATTGCTAAACAAATAAATAAATAAATTTGAAGCTTCTGGACAGTCTTCAAAGGCAACCCCACGTAGAGCCCGTTGCAGTAGTCTATACAGGATGTAACCAGAGTGTGGACTACCGTGGCTTGTATTTTAACTATACACAACTGTGGGGCTTCCTAGTGGGAATGGCTATGTTTTCATCATACTTTCTACCTATGTCTTGCTTCCAGTAGGTTGAATGTGTATGTGTGTGTGTGTGTGTGTGTATACACACACACACACAGGCATTCCAACATCTAAAAATCTAAACCTTTCTAGTCAGGAGCATATCGGATAAGGAATACTCAACCTGTATTAACTTTTTTTCCTTCCCATTATTTTAGGAAACCAGACTCATATGCCAAAGTACACTGATAGGACTTGGAGCAATGGGTTCAAACTACAGGAAAGGAAATTCCACCTGAACATTAGGAACAACTTTTGGACCGTAAGAACTGTTCAGCAGTGAAACTCTCTGCCTTGGGGTGTGGTGGAGGCTCCTTATTTGGAGGCTTTTAAACAGAGGCTGGATGGCCATCTGTTGGGGGTGCTTTGATTGTGCTTTTCCTGAATAGCAGGGGGTTGCATTGGATGACTCTTGGGATCTCTTCCAACTCTATGATTCTATGAAAGCACAAGTCCACCAGAGGCTTTGCTACTGGCATCAAGATCCCCACTCTCCTCTCTCCCACTTCTCTGCTCCCAGGAATGTCAAAGCCCAGCCTTACACAGGGTGCTTGTCAAACATGACCGGGAGGAACTCATCCACAGGCAACATCTTGGAGAGGGGCTGGGCATCCAGTAGCTTCTTGGCACCTTGGAGGGAGATGATGTAGCCCAGCGTCCAGTAGGAGTAATCGGCTTCCACGAGGTTGCGAACATGAGGCACGGCTTTCTCGGAGTGCTCCACCTGCATGCGTTTCCGACCAATATAGCTAAGAGAGAGGAGAGAAAGAACAAGAAGGAACTCCTTTCAGAAACTCCATTTTCAAAGGAACATGTAAAAATATTTCAAAGGTTGTTGCATGGAAAAGGAGACAATTTTTGCTTCCAGGTGCCCGGGAGACTAGGACTTGGAGAAATGGGGTCAAACGGCAGGAAAAAGATTCTACCTAAACATTAAGAAGAACTTCTTGGTAGTAAGACCTGTTCTACAGTGGAATATGCTGCCTTGGAGTATGGTGGAGTCTCCTCTGGAGGTTATTAAGCAGAGGCTGGATGGCCATCTGTTGGGAGTGCTTCGATTATGAGTTTCTGCATGGAAGGGAGTTTGACTGGAAGGCTCTTGTGTTCTCTTCCAACTCTATGATTTTGTGTAGATATTATGCAGCAACAACATGAAGTTCCTATTAAAAACAGCTGGACAGGCTGACGTGCCATCCCTGTTAATCTATTTTAACTTCTTCCTCAAAAATAGAAATATATTGAGTAAGCTCACAACTGTATTACTCCTTTTGTAATTTTAGTTGACGTTTCAATTATTAGACCGCAATCAGCTGCTGTCATTCTTATCATTTGAATAATTTTATATCAGATGAATTTCAAAATAGTTCCTAACCTCATCACCTAGGGCAAGTCAAATTTACTTTCAGTAAATGAAATCCAATGGATAAACTAGTGGGTTGTTGTAGGTTTTTCAGGCTATATAGCCTTGTTGTAGAAGCATTCTCTCCTGACGTTTCGCCTGCATCTATGGCAGGCATCCTCAGAGGTTGTGAGTCATCCTCAGACTTCACAACCTTTGAGGATGCCTGCCATAGATGCAGGCGAAATGTCAGGAGAGAATGCTTCTAGAACATGTTCATATGGCCCGAAAAACCTTCAACAACCCAGTGATTTCAGCCATGGAAGCCTTCGACAATATGACTAGTTCTTTTAAGCCACAAATGACCTTACATAGGTCTGCCAAGCTAATAATTTTGGACTACGGTAGAGTCCCACTTATCCAACATAAACAGGCCAGGAGAACACTAGATAAGCGAAAATGCTGAATAAGGAGGGATTAAGGAAAAGCCTATTAAACATCAAATTACATTATGATTTTCCAAATTAAGCACCAAAACATCACATTTTACAAGCAACTGACAGAAAAAGCAGTTCAATACACGGTAACATGATGTTGTAATTACTGTATTTACGAATTTAGCATCCAAACATCGCAATGTATTGAAACAGCTGTGGATCCGGGCAGGAGGCAGACTGCATTGGATAATACAGAATGTTGGATGAACGAAGGTTGGATAAGCGAGACTCTATTGTATTGTATTGTATTGTATTATTATGGATTCTTTTGCAAGAAGCTTGTTGTGGAAACAAGGATTGGGTGATAAAGCTTCATTGGAGACACCTTTTCCCCATGATAAGTCTTTCAGGAGTGGACATCCCTTCCTAGGGGCAGATTTATCTCACTTCCTATTATTTCACCCCATTCTTAACTATGAATGAAACATAAGCTTGATGTTTGTAACTCTGGGACTACCCACATATGGTGGGCGACGTGTGATCTTAATGTCATGATTTCCCTACCAGCTGTAATGATAATAATGTCAACCACCCCATTTACTTACATCAAGTCCCAGTCCAGGCCTTCCTCTTCCAAGTCATACATGAGGTTCATGATGCGCCGTTTAAAGAAGATTTCAAAACGCAGGTCGTCCTCAAACACCACTGACTTCTCCAGGCCTCTCTCAACAATCTGACACCAATGAAAAGAAAAGAAACAAAACCTTGTCTGTACTTATTTTATTATTTGCTCTAGAAATTGTATTTTGTATTGTTGAAAGATTTCATGGCTAGAATCACTGGGTTGTTGTAGGTTTTTCGGGCTATATGGCCATGTTTTAGAACAATGTTTCTCAACCTTCCTAATGGCGCGACCCCTTAATACAGTTCCTCATGTTGTGGTGACCCCACAATCATAAAATTATTTTCATTGTTACTTTACGACTGTAATTTCAGTACTGTTATGAATCATAATATAAATATCTGATATGTAGGATGTATTTTCATTCACTGGACCAAATTGGGCACAAATACCCGATACGCCCAAATTTGAATACTGGTGGGGTTGAGGGGGATTGATTTTCTCCTTTGGGAGTTGTAGTTGCTGGGATTTACAGTTCACCTACAATCAAACAGCATTCTGAACTCCACCAACGATGGAATTGAACCAAACTTGGCACACAGAATTCCCATGTCCAATAGAAAATATTGGAAGGGTTTGGTGGACATTGACCTTGAGTTTGGGAGTTGTAGTTCACTTACAACCAGGGAGCACTGTGGACTCAAACAATGATGGATCTGGACCAAACTTAGCATGAGTTATTCAATATGCCCAAATGTGAACAATAGTGGGGTTTGGGGAAAATAGACCTAGACATTTGGGAGTTGTAACTATTGGGATTTATAGTTCACCTACAACCAAAGAACATTCTGAACCCCACCAACGATAGAATTGGTCCAAAGTTCCCACACAGAACCTTTATGAACAACAGGAAATACTGTTTTCTGATGGTCTTTGGTGACCCCTCTGAAACCCCCTTGCGACCCCCAGGTTGAGAAACGCAGTTCTAGAAGCATCCTCTCCTGACGTTTCGCCTGCATCTATGGCAAGCATCCTCAGAGGTTGTGACCTCGCAACCTCTGAGGATGCTTGTCATAGATGCAGGTGAGATGTCAGGAGAGAATGCTTCTAGAACAGGGGTCGTCAAACTTCTTTAACAGAGGGCCAGGTCACAGTCCCTCAAACTGTTGGAGGGCCGGATTATAATTTGAAATAAGCATGAATTAATTCCTATGCACACTGCACGTATCTTGTTTGTAGTCCAAAAACACTTCAAAACAATACAATAATTAAACTGAAGGACAATTTGAACACGTATAAACGTATTCGTATTTCAGTGTGGACCTGCTTTTCGCTGATGAGATAGGATTGTTGTTGTTGTTGTTGTTGTGGGTTTTCAAGTCATTTCAGACTTAGGTTGACCCTGAGCAAGGACCAGGTAAATGACCTTGGAGGGCCGTATGCAGACCCCGGGCCTTAGTTTGGGGACTCCTGTTCTAGAACATGGCCATATAGCCCGAAAAACCTACAACAACCCAGTTTGTATTTTGGTTTTTCACCCAAGTACTAAGTGGCTAAATCACATCACCTATACCTTGTCCTATCCTATTTCATTGATCATATCACCAGACAAAGAGTGAGAGAACCCTCTCTCTGTCTCAACGCATGCCCAATAGATGGCAGCACAGAGTTAGGAAAAGCAAAGAAATCCAGATGAAGGAATCAGTCCTGAACATTAATGCTATTTTCCCCCAGAAATCAGAAGTGACTTGAAGTCATACAAGGATAAACAACAAAACAGGCACAGCTCCAAATCAGTGCTTAAATCTGGCTCTTGTGCCAAAATAAAGTTAACATCCCAACAGTGCCAATACAGAAGATCAGCCCTGGAACTAAGGAATACTGTGGAACCCTGAAGTGTTTATGCCTTTCTACTGACAGATACGGAGTCCCTGGAGACACGGTGGGTAAAACTACTGAGCTGCTGAATTTGCTGATCGAAAGGTCGCCAGTTTAAATCTGGGGAGCGAGGCGAGCCCCTGCTGTTAGCCCCAGCTTCTGCCAACCTAGCAGTTTGAAAACATGCAAATGTGAGTAGATTAACAGGTACCGCTCCGACAGGAAGGTAACTGCTCTTCATGCAGTCATGCCAGCCACATGACCTTGGCAGCGTCTACGGACAACACCAGCTCTTCGGCCTAGAAATGGAGATGAGCACCAACCCCCCGAGTCGGACACGACTGGACTTAATGTCAGGAGAAAATCTTTACCTTTCACTGACATATACTGGGTTAAACATTTATTTTGGTTCAAACCCTTTGAAACAAGACAACTGTTACCTATACTGAACATTTTTCACCCATCCCAGGAGGAAACTGAGACCCTAAAATTATAGAATCATAGAGTTGGAAGAGACCTCATGGGCCATCCAGTCCAACCCCCTGCCAAGAAGCAGGAATGTTGTATTCAAAGCACCCCTGACGGATGGCCATCCAGCCTCTGTTTAAAAGCTCCCAAAGAAGGAGCCTCCACCACACCCCAGGGCAGAGAGTTCTGCTGCTGAACGGCTCTCACAGTCAGGAAGTTCTTCCTAATGTTCAGATGGAATCTCCTTTCTAATTATACAGATTCAGAAACTTCCAAGTTGCAGCCTAAAGCAAGATATTTCTGGTTTATGCTTTATAGTCCCAACCTGATCTACTTCTATCTCAGGGTTTATATGAATGTCCCATTTATGTGGCAAAAGGGTACTCGTGGAACTTAGCGAATCAGGACTGTATATTGCTCTACACACTTTTTAAAAACTCATGCATCAGAATTCTGCTCTTTATTAGCCTATATTCTGCAACATTAAAGGCTGGGTTCTGCACAATGGAAATTTCTTTACATGAGACATATTTAAGCGAATCCCCTATTTACATATTTTATTCTATGATAATCAATGAGGTATGGTTCAGAAGTTCTGTCTTATTAAACAAAATTCCATAAATAGTTGCTATGCTTTCAAGATTTCACCAAATGTTGGGGAGTAGTCAGTGTTGGCATGGATGCCATCAGAAAGGGCGGTTTACGCACATAATGTGGGAATGTGAAAATGTACAATATTTTTGGCAGACTATACAAAATGAGTCAAATCAAATACTAGGAAATGAGAGAGTCAGAACAAAGGAAATAATGGGATTAGGGAAAAGAGAGGAAATGGGAAATAAAATGGAAATAAAAGAAGCAATAATAGAAAGTGCACAAGTAGAAATAGTATTAGGGTGGAAAGATAAATCAAAATGGACAGTAAATAAATGGTACCAATATATGGTGGAGCAAATGGAATTTGAAATTATGAATGTGAAATTAAATGATTTAAAAATCAAGGAAAATAGAATGAGAGAAATGGAAGAAAGATGGACCAGGGTAAAGAACTATATTATGAATCATTCCGGGGATCAAGCCATAAGAAATAAGATACAAATGTTATATAGCATACAGGATGGAAATGTATACAGATAAAGCTATAATGATTGTCTCAAAAAGAATGTAAATGTAAAAGAAAACAATAATCGTGTTGGTGGTGGGAACTGTAAATGTTTTGTGTGTGCCCGGTATTATTTTTTTTTTGGTATTGTTAAATAAAAATTCGTTATAAAAAAAAAGATTTTGCCAAATGTTGGCTACTAACTTTGACAGACTAGATGTTTTCTTTGTGTCTAAATGAAACAACCCTAAGGAGCAGAAGCTTGCTGTATTTCTACATTAGATTTTTAGAAGACATAATTCTGTACCCACTTACGATGGTCTGGAGTGTGCAGAATCCAGCTTATGGCACACAGATCTATTTTATTTTAGGGATCAAAAAGAATCTCATCTCCAGACATGATGACTATGAAACTACCATCCCAACCCAGCGTGGTCAATGGGAAAGGACTGTGGAAGCCGTAGACTTAAGCCCTGGAGAACCAAAAGTTCATCAATCCAGTTTTACATGATAAGCCTCACTTACCTCTTGCCAAACTTTATAATGGCTGAGGAAACAACCCAATTCCCCTTTGGTGAGTGGGCGCCCATGGTATGGATCCTTGTAACCTGGCAACATCTTGATGCCCATGGCATCTACCTGGCTGCTGTTCATTGCTCTGGGAAGAGAGAGAGAGAGAGAGAAAGAAAGAAAGAGAAAAAGAAGAAGTGAGGGGGGAACAGTTAGTGTGAGACATATTATCCAGGGGAGGGGGCCAGATCCAATTTATTTTAATTCATGCACCTGTCAGGAGATAATGCCTCTAGAATATGGCCATATAGCCCGAAAAAACCTACAACAACCCAGTGATTCCAGCCATGAAAGCCTTCGACAATATATCTCCATGTTTCTTTCAATAGTTTTGAAGTTGTGCATTAATGCTATCGTGCAGATGCCTTGTCCATTCATCCTATTGTGCACAAGGCATCTGCACAATAGTATTAATGCAGTTTGACCACACTTGAACCCCTTGGAATTGTGCGATTTGTAATTTGGCAAGGCACCAGAACTCTTTGGCAAGGAGCACTAAAGACCTTATAAAACTACATATTCTATGATCCCATAGCACTGAGCTGTGTCAGTTAAAGTGGTACAACTTATATTTTGACATGGCTTCTTTTAGGCTTTCAGAAGAGGACAGCCCAGATCTGATTCTGGAATCATATGAGGACTCCTCTGAGAACGGCAAAGGCCACCATAGAGGGATTGTCCACTCACACCCCTAAGGAACAAATCTACCCCACTGAGGTAACATCTGTTGCCATTGACAATGGTGGATGTCTTGCGAAACTGGGGGAGATCCTACGTTTTTCCACTCCTATCTTAATGACAACCCAGTGGCACAATGGGTTAAACCCTTGTGCTGGCAGGACTGCTGACCAATAGGTCAGCGGTTCGAATCCAGGGAGCGGGGTGAGCTCCCATCTGTCAGCTCCAGCTCCTCATGCAGGGACATGAGAGAAGCCTCCTACAAGATGGTAAAACATCTGGGTGTGTCCTGGGCAATGTCCTTGCAGACGGCCAATTATCTCACACCAGAAGCGACTTGCAGTTTCTCAAGTCACTCCTGACATAAAAAAAGACCACAAAACACAGACATTCTCAGCAGTTCCTATTCAGTGAGTCTGCACTTGTCTCTTTCCCAAATTTCTCTGCTCTGTTAACAAATATCTAGCTTTATCTCTTTGAGATGATTCTAACTTTCCAATTACATCAAATATCTCCTATTGGCGAGACTGAGGCACAAGCGCTGCATTTTATATCCGAAGGCTAAAGCCCCCCAAAGCATCTGCCCTCCCCAGAGGTGGAAATGTCATCTCCCTGTCACTCACTTCCCGTCCACGGCTTCTATGATTTTGCAGTCAATCTCCTGCTCGTACAAGGTTTGCAGCATCCGCTCTCGGCGGTCTGTCCGTCGCTTCAGGTTGATCATGAAGACCTAAAAGAAGGGAGAGACACATGAAAAGGTCACCAAGGAAGGGCCCCATCTACACTGCAATATAGTGCAGTTTCAGAATGCAGATTAACTGCATTGAACTGGATTATATAGCAGTGTAATAATAATAATAATAATAAAACTTTATTTATAACCCGCCCACCATCTCTCCAAGGGACTCGGAGCGGCTTACATGAGGCCAAGCCCACCAGTACATCAATAAACAAAAGCAATAAACAAAAACAATAAATACAATTAATATAAATCACATATAAACAATAAACAATAACACACAATGATTTAAAAACCTATGACCGGGCCAAATGTAAAAATTAAAAAATAAACACTGGGCATGAACAAGTTAGGATATAACTGGTATAGGGTTTCCAAAGAGAGATGAGGGAACGCAGTCAATCCTAAACCAGTAGTAAAGTGCACTCTGAAGGCATATTGCTGAGAATTTTCCTTATTCTGGGAAGGCACACTGGAACAGCCACGTTTTCAGGCTCCTCCTAAAGACTGCCAGAGTTGGGGCATGCCGGATGTCCTTGGGAAGTGAGTTCCAGAGTCGGGGGGCCACCACCGAGAAAGCCCTCTCCCTCGTCCCCACCAATCACGCCTGTGAGGGAGGTGGAAGCGCGAACAGGGCCTCTCCAGAAGAAATCGTGTGGGTTCGTACACAGAAATGCGGTCACGCAGGTAGGCGGGTCCCAAATCATTCAATGTAGACTTGTATAATCCAGTTCAAGGAGGTGAATCTACATTCCGAAACTGCATTATGGGTCCCAAAGGCAAAGGAGGGAGTGAGGCAACCTGACAGGCCCCAACCATGTTTAGTAACAGGATGAGGAAGTAAGAGGCTCAAGGCGACAAGAATGACATTTGTCTCTTTTTAAAAACAACATTTTAAAGTTAGCAGAAAACTAACAACAACAGTAGCAGATTGAGCTAGAAACGTTCTATGTGCAACTTCCTTATTTGCTGAGACATGGTGAGGAGGGCATTCAAAAATAGACATCCACCATCATACAAACACACGACATATATAAAATTATTCCTCTTGCTTAAGATCTGAACAGTTCTTTCTATAGTATGAGTAGACTGGGTCTCATGGGAAGGCATTTCCCCACGGGTCCCCATTAAAGACAAAAAGGATCATATAAGGCAGGCACTCTAAGTGCCAAAAACGGTAAAAATCCAAGATTTTGATTTCAGAACTTCTGAGTGCAGCCGGCCTCAGCATCCCATCCAACAAAAACTTCCCAAAAGAATCACAGAATCAAAGAGTTGGAAGAGACCTCATGGGCCATCCAGTCCAACCCCCTGCCAAGAAGCAGGAATATTGCATTCAAAGAACCTCTGACAGATGGCCATCCAGACTTTGTTTAAAAGCTTCCAAAGAAGGAGCCTCCACTACACTCCGGGGCAGAGAGTTCCACTGCTGAACAGCTCTCACAGTCAGGAAGTTCTTCCTCATGTTCAGATGGAATCTCCTCTCTTGTAGTTTGAAGCCATTGTTCCGCATCCTAGTCTCTAGGGAAGCAGAATACAAGCTTGCTCCCTCCTCCCTGTGCCTTCCTCTCACATATTGATACATGGCTATCATATCTCCTCTCAGCCTTCTCTTCTTCAGGCTAAATATGCCCAGCTCCTTAAGCCGCTCCTCATAGGGCTTGTTCTCCAGACCCTTGATCATTTTAGTCGCCCTCCTCTGGACACATTCCAGCTTGTCAATATCTCTCTTGAATTGTGGTGCCCAGAATTGGACACAATATTCCAGGTGTGGTCTAACCAAAGCGGAATAGAGGGGTAGCATTACTTCCCTAGATCTAGATACTATGCTCCTACTGATGCAGGCCAAAATCCCATTGGCTTTTTTTGCCGCCACATCACATTGTTGGCTCACGCAAGAACCATGCAAGATGGGAGATTAACTGGACCACTCTTAAAAAAACACCATAATAACCATTATGAAACAAAATTTTGAACTTTTTCCTTCCAAGAATATTTGGCAAACTACATAAATTGGCATATATTGACTTCTTTTTCAGAATAAACCCTTGTTGTTTCTCACCTCATCAAAGCCCATCTTCTCTGGGACTTTTGGAGGCACAGAGACATACTTAGAAGGTTCCACTGGTGGGTACTTAACTGGAAAAAAAGGAACATGAAGTCAGATGATAAGACATACAACCTCTACCAAAAAAAATCCTCCAAGTGTTCATATATCTGAAGCAAACACATCTTCCAGGATGCTTTTCTTTTACAAAAAGAAACAAAAACAGAGACATATTTCATGATGAACGCTCCCAAATTCTTGGCTTACTGCCAATGCGTATAGACACAAGCATAAATCTTTCCCTACAGATGATGACTGCCTCAACTGAACCTTCAGGCATACCATAGCTTTTTAAAGTGGTATTTTCCCTTAACAGACTGAATTTTTAATTTCTTGTGGTTTAAGAAGGCTATTCACTCCCTCTGAGTTGCTTCTAAGCCAGTGGTCTTCAACCCATGTGTCACAAGATATTTTGGCCTACAACTCCCAGAAATCTCAGCCAGTTTACCAGCTGTTAGGATTTCTGGGAGTTGAAGGCCAAACCACTGTTCTAAAGAGATACCTGTCTCTGTTGGAGCATGTAAAAATCAGTTGGAGAGTGTGTTAACTGAAAAATGCAAAGCACAAAGCTGATTGGCTGGGCCATCCCCAAGAGACTAGCTGAGCCTGGGAGTTTTGGCAACAGTTACATTTTTAGGCTTTTCTGTGCAGGAGCTTGCCAAGACAAGGGAGTATATTATTTCTGCTTCTGCGCTGCTGGAAGAGGATTTCTCACGTGGACATCTAAAGACATCTATAACAATGCCAGAATGGGAAGAGATATGGAAAAAGAAACTGAAATACTCTTACGTAACAGAACTTAAGGAGAACTGGTGAAAATAATTTTATAGAGGGTACCTGACAGGCATGTAGCCGGGGGGGGGGGGGGGCTGGGGGCTTCAGCCCCCCCCCCCCCGTAATTCTCATGGTGGTCTGCAAAGGCCTTACTGGTACATTATTTAAACTGTTATGTTTATTCATATCATGATATGCATGGGGGTATTGGGGTAACGATACAAAAGGTTTGCTAGGGTAGACCCTCTTTCACTCAGACTCCCCCCCCCCGAATCAAACTCACCCCCCCCCCCCGAAACAAAATCCTGGCTACGGGCCTGGTACCTGACACCTGAAAAAATATCAAAATTCAGTAAGGGTAAAAGAGAAATGCTGGAAGTGTGGAAAATATATAGGTAATTACATCCACATGTGGTGGAAATGTAAAAAGGTTAAGAAATCCACAAAAAAATAGAATTAACCCTACAACTAAAATCTGACTTAAAACCACAGTATTTTCTCCTAGGGATAACAGACTTCTCTATGGACAAAAATACAGAAAAACATTTTTTTACTTGACCATGGCAGCGAGAATCACTCTAGCCAAAATTTGGAAATACGACGATATACCATCAACAGATCAATGGATCCTGAAAGTAATGGATATGATGAATATGGATATTCTTACTCAAAAAATATCAGATAGAAAAGTAAACTTTCACAGAACAGATTGGGGGAAAGTCCTGGACTTTATAAAAAAAGAAAAGTACAGGAATATATATTATTAAAACGTAAACAAAACTCAAGGGAAATATCAACATGAATCCAACGACAAAAATGGGTACATTCCAAAATAGTAAGAGGATGCCACAACCTGGGAAGACCTGGGAGCTACTCTATATCCCCCCCTTCCCCTTCCCTCTTTTTTTCTTTCTTGTTTTTTTTCCCATCTTCTTTCACTTGATTAGGTATTCATTTTTCCTACTTTCCTAAAATACATTTGTAATGAACTCATACCTTTGCTTCGTAGGCTGCAGCCTGGGAGTCAGTGAGCTGGCCTCCATGTTGGGAAGGCAGCTCAGGATGGCTGACATACTGGTATAGGCAGAGAGGCAAGGGGAGGAGTCAGCTAACTCCTGATTGGTTCAGACCCCAAGGGGAGGAGTTGAAGGAGTGTGTAAAGGGGCTGTCATTTCTGACAGGAGGGAGAGAAGGATTTGATAAGAGAGAGAAAGGATTAGGATTTCAGAAAGGGAGAAGAGAGTTTCTGAGTGAGCTACGAATTGGACTGTTAGGGAATAATAAAGAGCAAGGGCTTCTGTGTAGTTTGACTAGGGCAGTCAAAGTGAAGACTTGTTTACTTGTATTAGGATAGAATACAAGTGGGTTTATTTCCCTAAACTTCAGAGTAGTCCAGGGCAACTTAGATACTCTGGAGGGCAGCCAGGGGCGGCTGGTCATAGAAATGCACTGTTACATGTTACAGGATAGTGTGAGGAAAGTAGCTCACGTTAAGAAAAAGTTACTCCTTCTAAAGAAACCATTTTCTCAGTAATGAGTTGTTTGCTTCAAATATTTCAATAAACCTGTTCTCTAGTTTACTGTTAATCTGCCTCAGCCTTGTTTTATCAGTTAGATCCAGTCAGCCTCCACATCTCCATAGTTCAGTCACAAGAAAGGGAGCCAAAAGGAAGAACCGGTTTATAGGGACATTTTACCTCAAGTACAACGACAAGACAATTCCCCAAACTGTAATTTGGGGTAGTGGCAGCAAACCTACCATTACCTACACACCGTTCTCTCTCATCACCTGTAACACCCTCGTATATTCTTTTTACAACATTGTTCCCACTCTTTTCATGTAATAAGATAAACCATTTACTTCTATCACACTGATTTATCTGGAATCTCTTTTCTCTAGGGAGCAACTTTTTATCTGCAATAAAAATATTTTTTTTAAAAAAATAAAGGCATGGAGTAATGCGCTAGAGACCATGATTCAAATTCCCACTCAGCCATGATTCAAATTTCCACTGGGTGACACAGTAAGGCTGGATCTACACTGCCATAAAATCCAGATGTTTGGGTTTTTTTGGTCGTGTCAGGAGCAACTTGAGAAACTGCAAGCCGCTTCTGGTGTGAGAGAATTGGCCGTCTGCAAGGACGTTGCCCAGGGGATGCCCAGATGATTTGATGTTTTTATCATCCTTTGTGGGAGGCTTCTCTCATGTCCCTGCATGAGGAGCTGGAGCTGATAGAGGGAGCTCATCCACCTCTCCCCGGATTTGAACATGCGACCTGTCGGTCTTCAGTCCTGCTGGCACAGGGGTTTAACCCACTGCACCACCAGGGGCTCCTATGATCAAATGATCAAATCAGATGATCAAATCAGATAATCCATATTATCTGCTTTGAACTGGATTATATGAGTCTCCACTGCCATATAACCCCGTTCAAAGCAGATAATCTGGATTTTATACGACAGTGTAGAAGAGGCCAAGTCACACTCTTTCAGTCTTAGAGGAAGGTAATGCAACTTTTAAAAAAATAGATTAAATCTTGCCAGGAAAACTCTTTTAGAGGTTTGCTGTAATGTTGCCACAAGTCAGAAGCAACTGGAAAGCACTAACAACAACAACAAATGAAGTTAGTAAGCACTGCAATTTTGCCTAAAATAATGTGATTCATTAGTCAAAACAACAGAAGTAGCAACTGTGTTATTTAAGGAGAGTGAAACAAAACAAAGAGCAAATTAAGTTAGTATGCACTGCAATTTTGCCTAAAATAATGTGATTCATTAGTCAAAACATCAGAAGCAGCAACCATATTATTTAAGGAGAGTGAAACAAAACAAAAAGCCAGCCAGTTCTTCCACAGTGGTCCAAATCCCAGGTCACAAAATGACTGAAACTAAACAAAAGTTTTTCTATCAAAGAAAAGTTGGAAAGAACAATCTAAGACGTACAGATGTTTTCTTTTTGTTCAAAACTTTTCAAAACAAAATGCTTTCTGGAGTGATAGAGTACCCTGGGAAAACTATGCCACCCAGGACCAACCACACCTAAGGAGATTCTCTTGAAAACTGTCCTGTTACATCAGAATTATGTAGCCATATTTTCCTGACATACTGCAAATCAAGCCACGTGAAAGAACCTTAAGGCACTACTTCCCCTTTAAGGACAGTTCCTGGACCTTGTAAAAGGACCTTTGTGCAGCTGCAGGATGGACAAAGAGCGCCTGTGCAGCAAACTTAAGGGAATGAGTCCAGCAAACTCCTCCAGAAGAGATGGTGAGTTGTCACACAGGCGCCTTTTGAGGCCTTATGCTAAAAAAAATTCAGCGTAAGTAGCTCCACCACATTCCCCTGAATTGGAAAGGCATGAAGGCTGCAGCTGGGAAATAAAATGTCTGATTATTTTGAAAAGCTGCTGGGTCTTTTGAGTTCAGTGGCACTTCTAGAGCTGTCCATGCTAGAAGTAGGTCCTGTTAACTGCAGTGAGGCTGAGGCATGCAAGGGTGCAGCTGAAATTTACAATCATAGAATCAGAGTTGGAAGAGACCCCCAAGGACCATCCAATCCAACCCCCTTCTGTGCTGGTGGAACACATAATCAAAGCACTCCTGACAGATGACCATCCAACCTCTGCTTAAAAACCTCAAGAGCAGTAGACTCCACCACTTCACTTCCAGCATATTCAACTGCTGAAAATGTCCCACCATCAGGAAAGTCTTCCAAATGTTTAGGTGAACTTTTTTTCCTGCATTTTGAATCCATTGTTCCATTGCGCTTGGAAAAGTAAGGGCTCAGTAGAAAAAAAGGGAACACGCAATGGATGGATTCAGGCAAGGAAGCCACAGCATTGTGTCTGCAAGACCTAAGCAGGGCTGTTGAAAACAGGATGACTTGGAGGTCTCTCGTTTCTAGGGTTGTCATAAATAAAATCAACTTGATGACAATTAACAACAAAACTACCAGCCAGCTAATTCAAGCTTTCATTAGTACAGAACCTGAGTTATAGAGATGCTAATGGTTTGTTTATTTACTTTTCATTAGAAGCGCATATACATGTCCCAGGAGACTAGTGCACATACCAGAACTGTGGCATAATAGCTGGCTACCCTACACTTTCTAGAACAGTGGTTCTCAATTTGTGGGTCCCCAGATGTTTTGGCCTTCAACTCCCAGAAATCCTAACAGCTGGTAAACTGGTTGGGATTTCTGGGAGTTGTAGGCCAAAACACCTGGGGACCCACAGGTTGAGAACCACTGTTCTAGATTAATCTTGGTTATCATCTTCAGTTGTCCACCTTCATTATTCACACAGCTCTGGCCAAGGAAGAATCTAGTTTTTATTACTATGAGTTTATAATAATATAATAATAGAACTGTATTTATACCCCGCCACCATCTCCCCAAGGGACTCGAAGCAGCTTACATGAGGCCAAGCTCAACAACACATCAGTAAAAACAACAAGCAATAAACAAATAAACAATACAATTAATATAACTCACATATAGACAATAACGCACAAGGATTTAAAAGTTTCCCCTCTGGTTTTAAAAAAATTGCAAAAACCAAGCATTACATAGAGTCCTCACCCATGACCTCCAGCTGCACATGCATGAAGCTCTCCACTTCGTCACGCAGGGTGCTGTGGGATCGCAGAGGCACAGGTAGGAAGCCATACACCTCTTTGTTGCACACATACATCTGGACCTCTAAACAAATGGAATGAGAGGGAGGAGAACAAGTATATAAGAGCATTGTTATTGTCATGAATGCACAGCAATAATGTCATCCCCCAGAGGTGATTAAGAATGCCTTCATCATTAGGTTTCCCACTACAGACACAAACCAGGGCGCTGCTCTGCTATTTCCTGCCCTCCACCAGCCAGCAAACAGCACTGTTGCAACGGGACAGCATCTGAAATGTTGCTTTGAGGGGGGGGAGGTATCTGCACGAGGGAGGCAGTGAATGGCTCCTTCTGCGATGAATGTTTGAGACATATATTGGCATATAAAACTAAAGCCTCACCTCCACATTAATGTACCTGGGAAAATTCTTGTTCAAGAGATCCTGCGCCACAGCTGGCTGCCCACAAAATGGCCCACATACTATCCACTCATTTAGGGGCAAGATCATATGATAAAAGGTTGAGATAAAGGTTTCTCCTGACATTAAGTCTACTCGTGTCCAACTCTAGGGTGTGGTGCTCATCTCTGTTTCTAAGCCGAAGAGCCAGCATTGTCTGTAGACACCTCCAAGGTCATGTGGCCAGCATGACTGCATGGAACACCGTTACTTTCTCACAGAAGCGGTACCTATTGGTCTACTCACATTTGCATGTTTTCGAACTGCTAGGTTGGCAGAAGCTGGGCCTAACAGCAGGAACTCACCCTACTGCCCAGATTCGAACTGCCAACCTTTCGGTCAGCAAGTTCTGCAGCTCAGCGGTTTAACCCACTGCGCCACCATAACTTGGATTCTTTTGGCTTCATACATAGCACAACCTCATTTCAAAGTTCTCAATACACTGCATTCCCAATATAGGCAGGGACAAAGGCAAAAAAGCCCCCTCCCCAAAATGTCTAGTGTATTTTAGTTAAAAATACTGATTTCCTGTAGTTAAGCTTAAGAGATTCATTCCCATCATGTGATAAATCTCAGGACCAGGGACTGCCAACACCCCAGACATCCATGGATGGCCCAGCTCTCCAATGGCTATGTTGGGTAGAGAAGATGGCGGCTGCAATCCTAGACGGTCACTTGTTGCCCATCCCTGCTTTCAGATTTGCGAACAAAAGACTTAAAAGTGTGATATTTACTGCTCAGGAGCAGCATGGGGCTACCTCAGCTGCTCCTCCTTGGCATTACAGAGCATTTACAGAAAGCACAGAGTAGGCAGCAAACCACAAGCTCTCACACCAAAGTTACCCCAATTTACGTTATTCGTGGTTCTCAGCTAAATGATGCTGGTTTCTTCGAACAAGACTGCAGCTGCTCAATAGATATACAAGCCAGGTTGCTATCCTTCCCAGTAAGAGAAGGCAGGATTTCCAACTCACCAGCCTGCCTGCAGGCAAAGGCAAAGACAATGATGTCGTCAAATGCCCAAGTGTAATCTGAATGGGGTGGGTAGAAGACGAGGTTCTGGCTGGCCTCTTTCTGCAGGTTGATGAGGAAGGTGGAGTGCACCATGGGAACAGCAAAGCAGCCCTTGCGGTCACGTTTCCTGATAGGGATGTAGGCAGGCGTGCGCTTGTAATAGCCCTAAGGGAGGAAGAATTTCAAAGGAGTTTAACTGCAAAGAAAAGCAGACATAAAACACAGGGGCTCACCATGCTGTCATAAGTTGGGAGTGTCATCAGTTGGGAGCCCCTTCCCCCCTCCAGGACCAACTGCTGCTCTGAGATCAGAGTGAAGAGAGGGGCCAGGAAGGCAGTTCCATCTTGCCTCCAGTGTCATCAGTTGGGAGCCCCTTCCCCCAGCTCCAACCGCTGCTCTGGGATCATAATATAATATGATGTTCTACTACTACTACTACTACTAATAATAATAATAATAATAATATATTATAATCATATATTTTATATTACATATAATATTACTAATAATATTACAGTATAATGTTATAATACAATATAGTAATATAAGGATAAAGGTTGTCCCCTGACATTAAGTCCAGTCATGTCTGACTCTGGGGTGTGGTGCTCATCTCCATTTCTAAGCCGAAGAGCCGGCGTTGTCCATAGACACCTCCAAGGTCATGTGGCCAGCATGACTGCATGGAGTGCCGTTACCTTCCCACCAGAGAGGTACCTATTGATCTACTCACATTTGCATGTTTTCGAACTGCTAGGATGGCAGAAGCTAGGGCTGACAGAGGAAGCTCACGCAGCTCCCCGGAATCGAACCTACGACCTTTCAGTCAACAAGCTCAGCAGCTGAGCGCTTTAACCCACTGCGCCACCGGGGGCTCCCATATAGTAATATATAATACTAATATTGTGATATGGTAATAATATAATATATTTTATTACATATTACTTGTAAGCCACTCTGAGTCCCCCTTGGGATGAGAAGGGCGGCATATAAACGTTGTAAATAAATAAGGAACCCATGGGTTTTTGATTAGGAACATGAGGAAGGGATGAAAAATGGCAGTGGGCATTTGGCAAACCAGATGAAGAGATGATATAGATCAGGGATTCTTAAACTGTGGGTCCCAACCACATATGGGGTCCCCTGAGCTCAATATTGAGGTCCTAAAACTATTTCTGAACCTCACCTAGTGGCTGTTTTAGACATTTACTTGAATCTGTTGTGCAGTGTTTACAGCTGTACATCATAAAAATGAAAATCAGTCTGTTTAGCAAGCCTTACAAATGTGGATTTGTTACCAGCAAATGTTTAGTTTGTATACCTATTTTATATACCTATATACCTGGGGTCATGCAAACATTTCTGAGGCCAGAAGAGGTGGAAAGGTTTAAGAAGCTGTGATACAGATGATAGACAAATGGATCATACCCTCTTGCACGTTTTTCCACTGTACTGATTTCCCATTAGAGCTTAACTGCTGGCACTCTAATACCAATCAGGCCAGAGAAAAGGAAACCTGCTGTAATTCATTATTCCATTTTGGACAAGTATGCTGATCTAACGTTTATCACCAAGATCTAGATCAGTGGTTCTCATCCTGTGAGTCCCCAGATATTTTGGCCTTCGACTCCCAGCTGGCAAACTGGCCGAATATCTGGGAGTTGTAAGCCAAAACACCTGGAGACCCACAGGTTGAGAACCACTGCTCTAGGTGGAAGGGAGCGGTTGGGTATGTCTGAAACAATTGTGTCTGACAAGTTATTCAGTGATACCACATCTTATCAGCTGTTCTATCCAACTTAAATAAACTGTGCTGGTAAGTCATCCAAAAGATATAGTGCATCTCACCGCTTGAGTTGATAGGTATAAGGTGGTGCCCTGTTAATGATATACATAAGCTTAAGTCCAACTTCTATTTGCATGGTCATTGTGGAAGTTGGTGCAAGTTGAGAATTCATTAGCTGGAATTCCGAAATACAAAAAAGATGTCTGAAGCTTGATCTTGATCTGGCCATGGAGACAAACCTTGACACTTCTCTGACTCTTGCACCATAAGCAATGGAATAACTGTGGGAAAGTGATTGAGCATAACTGCAGTGGCAACAGTGGAGCCACATCAATCTCACAAGCGGACTCAACTATACAGGATCTTGATCAAAGAACAAGGTCTATTATCCTGAGTGGTGTTAAGATTTAAATAGAGGCCACCTTGTTGGATATGTCCAAGAAACTCATGGCTACCATGGCCATGAACTGGTAAGTGGACTCACTTGAATTGTAGGGCCTACCTGCTGTTTAGTTCTAAACAAGGAGAAAATGGATCTTGGGATGAAGGAAAGAACGGAATTGTGGCATGGAAAGATCATTTCTAGATTACATTTAGACTTCTGTTAGCTTTTAAACTTTACCTAGGGGCTGTAGTCACACACACATCTCCAGGGTACTGCCAGGCACTGTGTACATAGAGCCCTGCATTCCTGTCTCAATACACACAAACCACAGAGACATATCATGTTCCACTGGCCGGGGCCTCAATTCCCATGAACTCACAGAGATGTGGAATGCAGAGGAGCCTGAGAATCCTCAACCTGCATACCTGTGAGGTCATCCCACACCAGAAGTTGGAATAGGCCGCCCGGGAGTCCAGCATAGGGGCCACCACAGTCTTGTTCTCAGCTATCAAAAGGCTCAAGGTGTCAGGGTTGGTCAGCAGATTGTCCGAATCCAAAAACTGCAGAGGTGCGTGTTAATTCGAGACAGAGAAGGAGAGAGAAAAAGCACAATGTTAAATCTAGAGATGTTACAATATCAATATTATATATTCTCAGTCTCCAGAATATACAGCATCTATCCTATTTGCTCACTGGCATGAAAACTTAGCTAACCAACGATTGTACTCTCATTTCTTTTCTATTTCAGTTTCTAGTTTGCACTCATGATAGACTTGGATTTTCATATTTATTTGTTTGTTTATTTATTTAAAACATTTATATTTTGCCCTTCTCACCCTGAAGGGGACACAGGGCAGAGCACAGTATACATATGGCAAACATTCGATGCCGGGAAAAGAATTCATATATGCATACATAAACATTAAAAGCATTTATCTCAATATTAAAACACACCATTTAAAACCGCCCTGGTCATTAGCGTCAAATCTAATTGGCCTGGTAATCTTTCTGCTTTATTGCCCTATCCTGAAAGCTTGGTCCCACAGCCAAGTTTTACCATCCTTCTGGACAGGAGGGAGGGGGCCGAACTGATCTCACCAGGAAGGGAGTTTCATAGCCGGGGGACAATCACCGAGAAGGCCCTGTCTCTCTTCCCTACCAATCATGCCTTTGAAAATGGCAGGACAGAAAGCAGGGCCTCCCATGCCTATACTCATAGCCTATAGTCAGGTGATATACTTTTTTTTCGTGTCAGAAGCAACTTGAGAAACTGCAAGTTGCTTCTTGTGTGAGAGAATTGGCCGTCTGCAAAGACAATGCCCAGATGTTTTACCATCCTTTGGGAGGCTTCTCTCATGTCCCCGCATGGGAAGCTGCAGCTAACAGACAGGAGTTCACCCCGTCTCACAGATTCAAACTCACAGATTCAAACTTACAGTATCTTCAGGATACTGGAGAAGAAGGAGATCATTTTGTGTTGTTATTTTTGTTGATGTAATTTAAATAAGTTATTTGTCTTATTATTGTTTATTATGTAATTTAAATAAGTTATTTGTTTTATTATTGTTTATTCACACTGCTGTAAAGGCACTCCAAATCCCCTTGGGGAGATGGGGTGGGATATAAATAGAGTTTTTATTGGGTTGTTGTAGGTTTTTTCGGGCTATATGGCCATGTTCTAGAGGCATTCTCTCCTGATGTTTCGCCTGCATCTATGGAGTTATTATTATTATTATTATTATTTTACTGAAACAAAAACACAGAATGTCACAGCCAACGAGATATATATGCTGGATTTTGTATCACAAAATCACAAGTTGAACACTTCCCAAGTGTCTAGGACTGTGTGATGTATTTTTGAATGATACGCGCAGATCCAAGTAAGGTGGCCTTTTGCAGTTGTTGTTGTTGTTGTTGTTGTTGTTATTTTACTGACACAAAAACACAGAATGTCACAGCCAATGAGATATATATGCTGGATTTTGTATCACAACATCACAAGTCAAACACTTCCCAAGCGTCTAGGACTGTGTGATGTATTTTCGAATGATGAGTGCAGATCCAAGTAAGGTGGCCTCTTGCAGTTGTTGTTGTTGTTGTTGTTATTATTATTATTATTATTAAACAAAGAAGGCCAAGAAAGGAGAGCAAATATTGTACAAGGAGGAGGCATCTAAGGAGTGAGAAGGAGGAAACAAGGGATTCGCAAGTGTGAAGCATTGGCATTAGAGAAATGGAAGGTAAGAGCATGCTAAGCTCGGGAGGGAAACTGATACAATAAAGGAATTATTTCAGGACTCCATTCTGCTACTGGAGCCAAGAGTGCACTTTGTGTGCTATATCTAAAGAGCCATGGATATTACCAAGTCTGAAATGAACCTGACAACAAACAGGTGCTGCCGCTTTTCATGAGCGAGGAAAGGCACAATAATCTACTGTCTAGCCTGTTGCAGGGAGCGGTATAGATAGTGCTCAAATCACCCCGCCACCAGTAATTCTGGGCTGTAGGCCAGCATCTAATTCCAAAACGGAAGTACAAGGCATGGCAAGCCAAGGGGCTGAATGCCCAGCAAAAACAGCTGCTCTGACGGGGCTCCACTTTGTCCTGACATCTCAACACAGCTGTTCTCGCCTGGGAAATGGAAACACGAGGGAGCAGGGCACATGCCAGAGAAGCCGGGGTACTTCAGCAGGGTTTGGAGGAAGGCTAGTGTTTGTGACAGTGAACCCTTCCAAATAGCCAGATTTAGGAAAGTGAAGATGCTGGGAAGAAGATAAATCTCTACCTACATTGGCCAAATACACATTTAATTACTGTATATAGGCTCATACTCAAGTGAGTATGAGCCTAGTTTTTCAGTCCTTTTTTAGGTCTAAAAAAAATCCCCCTTGGCTTATACTTGAGTCAAAGTTACTGTATATACTTGAGTATAAGCCTAGTTTTTCAGCCCTTTTTTAGGCTGAAAAAGCTCCCCTCGACTTATATTCGAGTCAAGGTTATTTATTCTTTTACTCTGTAATTAGTATAATTTTATTACATTTATTATTTTGCTCTATTATTATTATATTTACATTTTTTTGCTCTATTATTATTCTATTTATTATTTTGTTCTATTATTATTATTACATTTACAGTATTTTACCCTACTATTATTATTGCATTTACTATTTTAATCTTCTTCTTATTATTATTATTATTATTATTATTACATTTACAGAATTTTACCCTATTATTATTGCATTTATTATTTTAATCTATTTATTATTATTATTATTATTATTATTATTATTATTATTACATTTACAGTATTTTACCCTATTATTATTATTGCATTTATTATTATATTATTATTATTATTATTATTATTATTATTATTATTATTATTATTATTATTATATAATGTCCCTTCCCGTGGACATTAGATCAGCCCCCTCGTTAATGGTGTTTCGAAGAAGACTGAAGACCTGGCTGTTTGAACAGGCGTTTGGATAACCAGTGCTATGAATATAAGGAATATAGGAAAACGGAATTACGGATGACGAGTTGGATCACGATTCTAGTTAAGAGATGTTAATGTGTTGCCTACTGATGTGTAATTACTCAGTATATTACGGTGTTAATTGTTTTTAAAAGTGTATGTTGTTAGTATTGAATTCTTGCTCTTGTTGTTAACCGCGTTGAGTTGCCTACGGGCTGAGAAACTGCGGCATACAAATAAAGTAAATAAATAAATAAATAAATATTATTATTACATTTACAGTATTTTACCCTATTATTACTACATTTATTATTTTACTCCTTTATTACTGTTTTAATTGCATTTTCATTATTTTACTCTATTCTTTTTATTATATTTATTATTTTAATAATAAGTACATTTACATTGAAGGAGGTTAGAATAATGGTTTAATAAGAGTTGGACAGTCCGATCTTAAATTACAGTTTTATGTAAATATTCAGAAACATTTAGCCTATCGATGCCTCAATTAATGTAATTTTATTGGTATCTATTTTTATTTTGAAATTGACCCATAGCGGATGCTTTTCCCACCCTCAGCTTATACTCAAGTCAATACGTTTTCCCAGTTTTTTGTGATAAAATTAGGTGCCTCGGCTTATATTCGGGTCGGCTTACACTCGAGTATATATGGTATTTCTTATTTTACCCTGATAGAAATACATAATGAATATATAAATAATATAAATATATATTATTACATTGATCATTTTACTTTATTATTGTTGTCATTATTATATATATTATTTCACTCTATTATTGTTATTATTACATCTATTATTTTCTTCTATTATTACTGTTATTATTACATTTCCATTTTTACTCTATTATTATTATTGTTGTTATTATTATTACATTTATTGTTTTACTCTATTTATTTTTATTAGAAGGATATGCAAGCAAATTTACATCGAAGGTTAGAATAATGGTTTAATCAGAGTTGGGCAGCCTTAACTTAAATTACAGTTTTATATAAATATTTAAAAACATTTAGCTTGCTGATGTCTCAATTAATGTAACTGTATTGGTATCTATTTTTATTCTGAAATTTACCAGTTGCGGCTGCATTTCCCACCCTCAGCTTATACGTGAATCAATACATTTCCCAGTTTTTTGTGGTAAAATTTGGTGGCCCGGCTTATATTCGGGTCAACTAATACTACAGACATCAGACTGGCAACAAAGATCCGCCTAGTCAAAGCCATGGTATTCCCTGTAGTAACCTACGGATGTGAGAGCTGGACCTTAGGGAAGGCTGAGCGAAGGAAGATCGATGCTTTTGAGCTGTGGTGTTGGAGGAAAGTTCTGAGAGTGCCTTGGACTGCCAGAAGACCCAACCAGTCCATCCTCCAGGAAATAAAGCCCAACTGGTCACTGGAGGGAAGGATACTAGAGACAAAGTTGAAGTACTTTGGACACATCATGAGGAGACAGGAAAGCCTGGAGAAGACAATTATGCTGGGGAAAGTGGAAGGTAAAAGGAAGAGGGGCCGACCAAGGGCAAGATGGATGGATAGGATCCTTGAAGTGACTGGACTGACCTTGAAGGAGCTGGGGGTGGTGACGGCTGACAGGGAGCTCTGGCGTGGGCTGGTCCATGAGGTCACGAAGAGTCGGAGACGACTGAACGAATGAACAACAATACTTGAGTATATACGGTATATCCTGTAAAATTATGCAAGGTAATACAGTGAATGCATGTTAACTTTACACCTGGTATTTTCCTTTCTGGCTAGTTTAACAGTACATCAATAAACAAATCAACAGCAAAAAGAGGATGGGGAAGAAAAAAATACAAGGGTGGAGAAGAGAATAACACGGTATGAAACCATTAATAAGAGGAATTATATTTCTATTATTTTTATTCTGGTTTTATTGCTTGTTTGTTTGTTTGTTTACCATACATATATACTGCCTCTCTCAGCCCGAAGGCGACTTGAGGCGGTTTACAATCAGTAATCAATGTCACCAACAACATAAAATATAATTAAAAACATTAACATATAATATAGACCATATAAAAGCAGTAGAAGAAATAAAAACCAAAACACAGTGAATCACCTGAGGTGCATCTACACAAGACATCCCCAAACTAAGGTCTGGTCATGGTCTCATAGGAGTTGTAGTTTGATAGGTCTTTAACTTTTTCTGCCCAATATTGTTGGTGTACCACCAAAAAACAACTCCAGGATCCCACTACATTGACCCATGGAAGTTAAATTGACAGTCCAAATGCACCCCTAGTTGATTTCTTTATCTCTTGATTATTTCACTGGAGACATCTGGTGCTGCTACAGTCAGAGTCAAAGCCACTAGTGTCTTCTATACATCAATTCCAGTAAAATTTGGGAGACACCATGAATGACTTTTTGCTTCATGCTCATCTGGAATGGGTAAATATTTATTTATGTTTTTATTTATTTACAGTATTTATACCCTGCTCTTCTCACCCCAAAGGGAACTATAAACTTGTACAGCACTTAGGGAATACGTACATTCCAATGTCATTGAACTTCCAGTGACCATCTGTCAGGGGTTCTTTGATTGTGCTTTTCCTGCATGGCAGGGAGTTGGACTAGGTGACCCATGTGGTCTCTTCCAACTTTGTTATTATATTATTCTACGATAGGCCTACCAACATGGAGAGTAGTGTAGGAAGTGCAGTTCTACATGTTCTGGAAATCATACTTCAATATCTGGAAGGCCATACACACCCCAGTTTTTCATTATAGTATCCTTAGAAAAGTTAGGTAATCTATGTATTGTTGAAGGCTTTCATGGCCGGAAAAACTGTTGTTTTTTGTTTTGTTTTGTTTTTTGTTTTTGTCGTGTCAGGAGCGACTTGAGAAACTGCAAGTCACTTCTGGTGTGAGAAAATTGGCCGTCTGCAAGGACATTGCCCAGGGGACACCTGGATGTTTTGATGTTTTATCATCCTTTTGGGAGGCTTCTCTCATGTCCCCGCATGAGGAGCTGGAGCTGATAGAGGGAGCTCATCTGCGCTCTCCCTGGATTCGAACCTGCAACCTGTCGGTCTTCAGTCCTGCCGGCACAGGGGTTTAACCCACTGCGCCACTGGAGTTATTGTAGGGTTTTTGGGCTGTATGGCCATGTTCTAGAAGCATTATCTCCTGACGTTTCGCCCGCATCTATGGTAGGCATCCTCAGAGGTTGTGAGGATGCCTGCCATAGATGCAGGCGAAACATTAGGAGAGAATGCTTCTAGAACATGGCCATACAGCCCGACAAACCTACAACAACCTCAGGTAAACTACTTCCATTTCCTCAACTGCACCTGCAATAGGAAATACAACTGCCCAAACAATAATGGTCTCTTGAGCAACAATCCTCAAGTCTATGGCTGAGTAGGGAAGCATCATGGGTCACATGTCCATGGTATGTAGATTACAGGGCTGCAACGCCGCATACGAAAAATGCCTTAAGAGAGGATCCAAGGAAGAAAGAAATCCCATTTTAACAACCAATTCTCTTCCCACCAGACTGCCCTCCAGATCTTTTCCTCACCAAGATGTAGTCAGCCCAGATTTTCCTGGCTGCCTGCAAAGCCGCTTGACGAAGCTTCATGACATGTTCGTAACGGAAGTTGGACCAGTGCTTGGGGCCTTCCTCATCTTGATAGGACCTGGCGTGGATAAAGAGGCTCAGATTTAAAGGCTTTGAAATATCCCCTCATCCCCACCAGCCTGCCCCCAATAGATGGAAACCATGTAGGCCTCCATAAATGACCAGAATAATATGCCAAGTGTATGAAGGAAAGTCTGCTTGTTGGCTTCTACTAAGAATTGAAAGGAATTTGTTGCCAAGAACAGTGTGTTTATGGATTTGGTAGAAGGATCACTGGAAACTAACAGGATGTCTGCCCTGTGATATTCAGTTATTTAAAGGTTCAAGAAGGAGCTGAAGGAAGAACAATACTCTGTAGCTTCCAAAATCAATATTTAGAGAGAAGTGGCGAAGGATCAACTTCAGAGAACTGACTTAAGTTAGTCCATGCCTTTACTCCAAGTTGGAAGATTCAATACATGGGGCAAGAGTACATATCTGAGACAACAAGTGGCTCTTCAGGTGTTGTTGGCCTGCAACACTCATGAATTGAAGCCAGCATGGTGAAGGATGATGGGAGTGGAAATCCAACAACACCTGGAAGGCTACAAGCTTTCAATTGAGGCGGAAGTTTAGCAGCCATAGTCTTTCTCTTCTTCCATGAACACAAGCAGCAGAAATGATGTGAAACACACATGCAAACAAATATAATTTGCATAATATGGGCAATTTCACAAAAATCAGATTTTAGGGAGCAACTAAAAATGAAGAAGTCAAAACACTGAATTTTATTTTTACATAAAATCAATAACCCTGTAAAATCAATTCAAGCACAGAAACAACTGGGCCTAGCCCTGAAACAACTGCATTGAATCTTCTCACTGAACCATATCAAGAATTAACTGACACATAGGTAAGCTAAACTTAATCGTTATTTGCATATCCTGGCTCTGCAGGTTTGTTCTTTTCGTAAACTTTTAGATGCAAACATCTAAAAATTAAACTCGAGCCAAGTTACAAACAAAAATGCAACTCAAAATAAAATTGAACAATCCTCACAAAAGGAGCTTTAAAATGAGCAGAAAAACTGTATCAGCAACAACAAGAGTACAAACATAAGAGATTTAAGTTCAATAAGGCCTAGAAAACAAAGCAGGCAATGAGAGGATTTCACAAGTGGTTATTTAGGTTTATTAACTTTCTCTGTTATCTGTACTTTCTTTGTATTTAAGTTACAAAAAGGACAAAAGAAAGCATTCAGGAAACCTTAACTCCTCTCAGAGTGCTGGCTATCAACAGAGATGATATTATTTTGTGATTGACAAATGATACAGTATGGATAAATTTAATTTCCTGAGAATCTGTGGTTTGCTGTTGTTTCTCAAATCAGGTTCCTAGCCCTTATAGTTATATAATCAAGCCTGAACAACAGCAAAAAAGGGGCAATTATCTTCAAACTACAAGAAAGGAGATTCCATCTGAACATGAGGAAGAACTTCCTGACTATGAGAGCCGTTCAGCAGTGGAACTCTCTGCCCCGGAGTGTGGTGGAGGCTCCTTCTTTGGAAGCTTTTAAACAGAGGCTGGATGGCCATTGTCAGGGGTGATTTGAATGCAATATTCCTGCTTCTTGGCAGGGGGTTGGACTGGATGGCCCATGAGGTCTCTTCCAAATCTTTGATTCTATGATTCTATTAAAAAGCTAGATGAGTGGCTAAATAACATTTCCAGAATATTTAATATCAGTGCATAGAATCTCATCCATCCTCCTGACTAGCAATATGAATTAAGTAAAACAACGTGAGTTGTTGCATGTGTGACATTAAATTGTGCACATAGTCACATAAGCAGCAGAACCTGGTCTTTAGGGTGCAGAATTTGGGCATTTTTTTTAAATATAGCCAACTTAATCAGATTCAATTTTAAGGAAGTGTCAGTACAGTCCAACTCAGGCATAGCTTCCAAATGTAATTTTTAGACATGATGTGCTACAGCAGGGGTCCTCAAACTTTTTAAACAGAGGGCCAGGTCACGGTCCCTCAAACTGTTGGAGGGACGGATTATAATTTGAAAAAAGCATGAAAGAATTCCTATGCACACTGCACATATCTTATTTGTAGTGGAAAAGACACTTAAAAACAATATAATAATTAAAATGAAGTACAATTTTAACAAGTGTAAACTTATTAGTATTTCAATGGGAAGTGTGGGCCTGCTTTTGGCTGATGAGATAGGATTGTTGTTGTTGTTATTGTGTGTTTTCAAGTCGTTTCAGATTTGGGTTGACCCTGAGCGAGGGCCGGGTAAATGACCTTGGAGGGCCTTAGTTTGAGGACCCCTGTGCTACAGTGTACAATGGGTTCTCAATATCCTGCTGGGCTTTAGTTCCAAGCTCCCCATGGATACCAGAATCCATGGATGCCCAAGATCAACCTGTGGGTCCCCAGATGTCTTGGCCTTCAACTCCCAGAAATCCTAACAGCTGGTAAACTGGTTGGGATTTCTAGGAGATGTAGGCCAAAAAACCTGGGGACCCACAGTTTGAGGACCACTGCATTTATACACAATGGAGGAATATTTCCTATCTAAAATGTCTAAATCAATATTTGCTTCTTGGGCTTTAAAATAAAATTTAAGTAATTGATGGTTGAATCCATGGAAACAGAATGTGTGGATACAGAGAATCAACAATGCTTTGAACCTTCTGTATTCCACCTACCCCAACATTTCTTTTTTTCTCATCTTTGCTTTCTCTTTCTTTAGCAGACTATCTGTCTATCCATGTAACCCATAAAATACAAGATAGATAATATTGCACTGGCGAGTAGTCTATTGTGTTGTTACTTATTTCTGATGCACCATCTTCCAGGTTTTCACCTCTGCCTCCCCATACTTAGAGGTATGCCTTATATCCCTCCCTGAATCACCACAGTTCTTGCTTTGCTCACCTGGGGAGTTCCATGGGCCGCCACTCCACAGAGTGATACATGCTCTGAACATTTGTTAGCCATTCCCGAAGTACAGCCGTTGTGTTGTCCACGTTGTGATCGGTTGCCACCCTAAAGAGACATTGGATAATGAAAACATGGTCTAGCAAGTGCACCTCCCTGTCAACAGTCCCTCCAGAACCCCAATGATAGCAGTGCTACAAAGTTTACAACAGTATCTTAATCAGGACACATTATGGGCACATATAGGTGCCTTCAAAGTTGTTGGTTAACTTGTGGCAACTGCATGAATTTCAGAGTTTTCTTAGGTAAGCGATACTCAAAGGGGTTTTTGTTAGTTCCTTCCTCTGAAATATAGCCTTTGGCACCTGGTATTCTTTGGTGGTCCCCCTTCTAAGTACTGATCAGTCATAGCCCTGATTAGCTTCTAAGATCAGCCAGGAATTTATTTATTATTTATTTATTTACGGTATTTATACCTCGCCCTTTTCATCCCAAAGAGGGAGCCCTAGGTGGTGCAGTGGGTTAAACCATTGTGCCGTCAAGACTGAAGAACGACAGGTCAGAGGTTCGAATCTGGGGAGAGCACGGATGAGCTCCCTCTGTCAGCTCCAGCTACCAATGCAGGGGACATGAGAGAAGCCTCCCACAAGGATGGTAGAACATCAAAACATCCGGGCCTCCCCTGGGTAACATCCTTGCAGACGGCAATTCTCTCACACCAGAAGGGACTTGCAGTTTCTCAAGTTGCTCCTAACAGACACAAAAAAACCCCAAAGAGGACTCAGAGCAGCTTACAGAACACACACGCGGGAAACATTCAATGCCGATTATACAATTAACATGGACAGACAACACAGAGAGAGGTAAAGGCAGTTTTTCCCCATCTTATTTCCAGCATCTTGGAGGTTGTGCTCGACTCTGGCCACGGGAGGTGCTATCGCTCTATCTTCCATGCCATGGAGCTTCCTCCCGATTGATGCCCTTAAGAGTGCCTTTAATACCTCTCCGCTAAAAGCAGTACCTATTTATCTACTCGTGTTGTGCTTTCAACCTGTTAGGTGGGAAAGTGAGCTGGGGCTAACAGTGGGTGCTCACCCCGACCTGGGCTTGAACTACTGACCTATTGACTGGCAGGATATTTCTGCAGCACTGTGGTTTAGCCCATTTTGAGGGCATATTGTACTAAGCCTAGCCCCGAAATTTTGTGTTTTCAGAATATATAGGCTCTACTGGTCCCCAAAGATTGGTCTTCTGGATATTTGTGATTTTAGTTCCCAGAATTCCTGACTGTTGGCCAAGCTTGTTGGGGCTTCTGGGAGCCAAAGACCAAAACATCTGGATGACTTAAGTTTGAGGATCATTGCTGTGTGTGGAATAATACAGGACTGGTTTTAACATTGTTAGTTCTATACACATACACAGACATACTAATTTACCTGCGCTGATGTATATAAATAACAACAACAATTTTATTTATATTCTTCTCTATCTCCCCAAGAGGACTTAGGGTGGATTAAATGCATTAACTACCAGGATACACAGCCAGTCCAGGAGAAAATGTAAATACAAGGCATACATTCAGTTTACAAAAGTTTGCCTGTTTGACAAGCCAGTGCTAATTAGTACCATCACAAGTGAGCAGATTGTGTTAAAGCAGTTTCCCTTAACCTATTGCCTTCCAGGTAAGTTTAACTACAACACCCATCATCCCTAGCCATCATCTCTGCCATGCTGGTTGGGGATAAAGAGAGCTATAGTCCCTTCACCTGGAAAACTGATTTTAAAACAGTTTTACATTAAACATTACAAAGCAGGGAGGGAAAAAAGAAAGTTGATTTACTAAACAATATCAGAGGGTAAATATATCTAAATTTTAAAATCAAGGTTCTGTTCATTTCAGAATACAAATGTGTGTTTGTTGGGAGGGGGGAATAAATTATATCTGAGCAAGTAAAGTTTAGTCTTTTTCTTGCAGGTTTCCATGTCAAGGAAAATTCTTCTTCCTAAACTCTTTTTTTTTTTTGGTCGTGTCAGGAGCAACTTGAGAAACTGCAAGTTGCTTCTGGTGTGAGAGAACTGGCTGTCTGCAAGGACGTTGTCCAGGGGATGCCCAGATGATCTGATGTTTTTATCATCCTTGTGGGAGGCTTCTCTCATGTCCCTGCATGAGGAGCTGGAGCTGATAGAGGGAGCTCATCCGCCTCTCCCCAGATTTGAACCTGCAACTTGTCGGTCTTCAGTCCTGCTAGCACAGGGTGTAACCTACTGCGCCACTGGCGGTTCCTTCTTCCTAAACTGGCATTTGGATACAGAGCAATTTTTTTTTCGTGTCAGGAGCAACTTGAGAAACTGCAAGTCACTTCTGGTGTGAGAGAATTGGCCGTCTGAAAGGACATTACCCAGGGGATGCCTGGATGTTTTGATGTTTTACCATCCTTGTGGGAGGCTTCTCTCATGTCCCCGCATGGCGAGCTGGAGCTGACAGAGGGAGCTCAACCCACTCTCCCTGGATTCGAACCTCTGGCCTGTCAGTCTTCAGTCCTGCCAGTGCAAGGGTTTAACCCATTGTACCTCACAGAGCAATGGAAATCAGGCTCACTTCTACATATATGTCAGAAAACTACATGCATCTATCATCATGAACAGAAAATTTGGGGGGAGGGGGGAATGTTACTCCAAATTGATTCATTTGTATTCAAAGGTGCAATCTGGATTTATATTCCACTCCTAAACACAGAAACCGGGAAAGGGAGTCATATGCATCTGTTCAAACACATCTCCAAACTATCAAAGGAGCTGTCAAGATGAAATTTCAAGAATGCATAACGCTATGGGCTTGGGGTATCTGTTCATAGAATCTGAAAAAGGATTACAATATGGGCTTTTTAAAAAAATAAGGTACACTTGGAACACGAGCCACCCATTATGTTCAATGGAACTGTGAGTTCCATCACCTGGCAGCTGCTTTCTTTGTGTGGCCAGAAACATATTCAGCATCCTTGAAATAGAGCCACCGCAGCTCTGCAATTACTTTCCCCAAACATGGCCCAAAGCTTCTCATAGATATGGATAAGCTAGAGTTGGATACCACTCCACACTGCAAGTTACATTTGGATGTTCCTGCTATTTATAACCATAATCATATCCGTAGTATAGAATGAAGTTTATCCCTCAAATAACATCTCGCAACTCTATTCTCTACAGAGTTATGCATTTCTAAAGAGAGACATGAAAAAGAATTTGTTGAATGGAAAAGCGGGGTTAGATCAGGGTGGGAAATAGGGAAATGGACGGGGGCATTTCCCATGTGGCACTACAGTGCATTTTGGCACACTGGTATTGATCTAATGTCCTGGCAGGATTGTTGATCGAAAGGTTGATGGTTCAAATTTGGGTGTCTCCTGGGCAACGTCCTTGCAGACAGCTGATTCTCTCACACCAGAAGCAACTTGCAATTTCTCAAGTTGCTCGTGATACACAAAAAATTGTTTCTAGTTATCATTTTGGTTTGGGCTGATTTTATTTGTTTTTTTGAGGACCTTCTGGATGGATTTGGGGTTTAAATTATTTGAAAATCAGCCCATTTTTCCTGACATTTCGCCTACATCTATGGCATCCTCAAAGGTAGTGAGGTCTGTTGGAACACGTTTAATGATTTTGTATTGTATATATTGAAACTGTTGTTGTTAACCACTCTGAGTCACCTAAGGGCTGAGAAGAGCGGAATAAATAATGCAGGCGAAACGTCAGGAGAAAATGCTTCTAGAACATGGCCATATAGCCCCAAAAAACCTACAACAACCCAGTGATTCCGACCATGAAAGCCTACGACAATACACAGCACATTGAGGGCTTGAAGGAGATCTTTAGATGCCTTCAAAGACTGGCTATCCCCAGTTAGAAAAAAATATATAATCTTTAAAGGAAAAAGGTTAAGGTTGTCCCCTGACATTAAGTCCAGTTGTGTCTGACTCTGGGGGTTGGTGCTCATCTCAATTTCTAAGTCGAAGAGTCAGCGTTGTCCATAGACACCTCCAAGGTCATGTGGCCGGCATGACTGCATGGAGCACCGTTACCTTCCCACCAGAGTAGTACCTATTGATCTATACACATTTGCATATTTCGAACTGCTACGTTAGCAGAAGCTGGGGCTGACAGTGGAAGCTCATGTTGCTCCCCGGATTCGAACCTGGGGCCTTTTGGTCAACAAGCTCATCAGCTCAGTGGTTGAACCCATTGCGCCACCGCAAACCCATTATAATTCCTCAAATAAGCAATTGTCGCTATTAGAGCAATCGTGCTTCCAGAGTTTGGAAAAGTTAATTGACCTTTTGGACTAAAATTCTCCGGAATCCCTTGCTGGGAATTTAGGAAACTGTATTCCAAAGAAGGATGTGATTAAATTTTAGCCAACAGTAAGAGTTTCATTCCTCTGCATATCAACAAGACAAGACATAAATTCCAGGATTTGATCCCAGGTTTTCTGATTTAAACTGTAATATATGAGTCCATAGTGCCAGATAATCTGGGATAAACAGAAAACCTAAAATCAGATCCTGGGATATAGGGTCTGTCTGGAAGGGCCCTAAGACAGGCACACATTAGTTGTTTTTGCTTTGGGATTTTAAATTGAGATAAGGTTTACCATTTGAAAAATAGGAGGGAAATCTGGCTTGGAAAGGGGGGAAAAGGTTGATAGAAAGAGAACTAGAATTGTCCATATCTATATATACAGGCAAAGAAAATCAGACAATCAGAAGGGGATTCAAAGTAAAAAGAATGGATAAAAGAGTGGATTTATGGCTAGTTCAAAGAAAGAGCCAAAGAGATTGTGGCTCACAGAGGGGCACATATGAGAGGGCAAGCCAAAAACAACACAAAGTGGGTTGTGTCAACACTTTGCAAAGCCAAGTACAGCAGCAAAATGGACTTTGCCACCTTTGGCCAGAAAATGTTGGGGAAGAATGGCCTGTATATCCCAGAAACCTCAGAATTAGCTAGGACTGAAGGTGCATCCACACTGTAGGATTAATGAGAGCCATTCAGCAGTGAGAACCGTTCAGCAGTGGAACTCTCTGCTTTCTTATTATTATTATTGAAGATATAGATAGATAGATAGATAGATAGATAGATAGATAGATAGATAGATAGATAGATAGATAGATATGGCTACACACACATGCACACATATACACACACGTATATACATGCATATATATATACACACACACAGAGGCGGCCCTAGGTAATTTTCAACGGTAAGCAAACAGTATTCCCCCAACCAATCACTGATATATATTTTATGTTCGTCGTGGGAGTTCTGTGTGCCAAGTCTGGTTCAATTCCATCATTGGTGGAGTTCAGAATGCTCTTTGATTGTAGGTGAACTATACATCCCAATAACTACAACTCGCATATGTCAAGGTCTATTTTCCCCCAAGAGCGCCTCAAGAGCGCCCCTGGGCAAAATCAACTATACTGCGAATGCTTACTTTGCGTAATGGGTTGAGCCGCCCCTGCACACAGACACATATACACACACACACAAATATGTATGTACACATACACACATATGAGATAGTCATTGAAAGAAATGAGCAAAATGTACAGCAAGATGTCCCACAGAAACAAAAGTTTTTGCAGCTGAATAAACCCCCCCCCCCAAGTTTTTATGATAGAACCAATTAGGAAATGGCATAGTGTTGTTATTATTATTACTATTATTATTGAAGCCATACACACACACACGGAGGAAAGAAGATTCCATCTGAACATTAGGAAGAACTTCCTGGCTGTGAGAGCTGTTCAGCAGTGGAACTCTCTGCCCCGGAGTGTGATGGAGGCTCCTTCTTTGGAAGCTTTTAAACAGAGGCTGGATGGCCATCTGTCGGGGGTGCTTTGAATACAATTTTACTACTTCTTAGCAGGGGGTTGGACTGGATGGCCCATGAGGTCTCTTCCAACTCTATGATTCTATTATTCTAATGCAGCCTGACTTCCTTTTAACTGCCAGAGTTCAATGCTATGGAATCATGGGAGTTTTACACAGTCTTTAGCCTTCCCTGCTGAAGAGTGCTGAGGCCTCACTAAGCTCCAAATCCTAGGATCCCATGGCAGTTAAAGTGGTGTCAAACTGATTAATTCTATAGTGTAGGCGCACTCTAAGATTGCAGGTGACACAGAAGGACAACAAACTGATCTGTAATAATGGGCGAAGGCACGATACATGCCCACCCATTAAAACGGATGACAGAAGATGCTTTGTATACATTTGGAAACTGCCTTATTTGCGGACTTACGTTACGGACCTCTTCTCAAATCACAGTCAGGGGAGCCAAAGATAAGAGCTTCCATTTAATTGCTAGTCCCAGTTAGATGAATCAATAGGACCTACACAAGTTTTGACTTACCGCCCAGCATTTAATTGCATGAGTCTGGGTTTAGAACAAAAGGCCATGTGTGCAAAGGGAAGTTTTCATCCACAGTGAGGCAATTTATCACTTCCACATTTATTCAGAACCTAGTAGCTCCATAATGTATTTCCAATGGAGCACAATCGTACTGAATTCCAAGCTTATTTTTGTGAAAAGGACTGTTTTGTGAAGTTCCTTCAGTGCTAAGTAGAATTAACTCCTGTGTAAAACTGCTAAAGTAAGACCAATTCCACACAGTAAAATTTCACTCTGAGTAGAAGTGCATGATAGGACTACAATCACATAATGAATCGATACTTCACAATTACTGCACTACTGCTTCTCCTTCTTCCTCCTCCTCCTCCTCTTCTTCTTAGCTCCAACAGTTAATTTATATGCCACCTTTCTCCCAAAGTGGGATTCAAGGCAATGCCATGCTATGAAGTCCTGGGATTTGTAGTCTGCTGAAGAGAATGAACACGTCAAACTACTCTGGGACTTCCAGATTCAGACAGACAGAGTTTTGGAGCACAATATTCCTGACCTCAAGATCGTGTTAAAAAACAAAGTATGGATTGTCGATGTTGCAATCCTGGGTGACAGCAGGATTGAAGAGAAACAACTGGAAAAGCTGACACAATGTGAGGATTTAAAGATCGAACTGCAAAGACTCTGGCACAAGCCAGTCAAGGTGGTCCCAGTGGTGATCGGCACACTGGGTGCAGTGCCTAAAAACCTTGGCCTGCACTTAAACACAATCGGCGCTGACAAAATTATCATCTGCCAGCTGCAAAAAGCCACCATACTGGGATCTGCACATATTATTCGCCAATACATTACACAGTCCTAGACACTTGGGAAGTGTCAAATTTGTGACCAAAACAACAGCCAGTAGAGTGATCTTGTCTGCTGTGGACTCATCTTGTTGTGCTTCAAATAACAACAACAACAACAACAACAACACTATCCCCCATGTTTTAATGATAGAACCAATTTGGAAATGACATTTACAATCCAGGAACAAAAATCATGTTACATAGTGTTATTATTATTACTATTATTATTGAAGATAGATAGATAGATATGGCTACACACACATGCACACATATACACACATGTATATGCATGCATATATACACACACACACAAATATGTATGTACACATACACACACATATGAGATAGTCATTGAAAGACATGAGCAAAATGTGCTGCAGGATGTCCCACAGAAATGAAAGTTTTTGCAGCTGAATAAACTCCCCCCCCCCCCCATGTTTTAATGATAGAACCAATTAGGAAATGGCATCGTGTTACACAGTGTTGTTATTATTATTACTACTACTACAATTATTGAGGGGAGCCCCCGGTGGCGCAGTGGGTTAAAGCACTGAGCTGCTGAGCTTGTTGATCGAAAGGTCGCAGGTTCGATTCCGGGAAGCGGCGTGAGCTTCCGCTGTCAGCCCTAGCTTCTGCCAACCTAGCAGTTCGAAAACATGCAAATGTGAGTAGATCAATAGGTACCACTCTGGTGGGAAGGTAACGGCGCTCCATGCAGTCATGCTGACCACATGACCTTGGAGGTGTCTACGGACAACGATGGCTCTTCAGCTTAGAAATGGAGATGAGCACCACACCCCAGAGTCAGTCATGACTGGACTTAATGTCAGGGGACTACCTTTACCTTTACCTTTACCTTTACAATTATTGAAGCTATACACACACACACACATACACAAGAAAGAAGATTCCATCTGAACATTAGGAAGAACTTCCTGACTGTGAGAGCCGTTCAGCAGTGGAACTCTCTGCCCCAGAGTGTGGTGGAGGCTCCTTCTTTGGAAGCTTTTAAACAGAGGCTGGGTGGCCATCTGTCAGGGGTGATTTGAATGCAATGTTCTTGCTTCTTGGCAGGGGGTTGGACTGGATGGCCCATGAGGTCTCTTCCAACTCTATTATTCTTTACACATATACACACAGAGAAGCTTTAGCAGGATCTGCTATTTGGTTGTTTTACTTGTAAAGCTTTCAACATCTGCACAGCAGAGGGAATGCAGTTTGACACCACTTTTGACAGCAAAGGCTCAGGGCTCTGGGACCCTGGGATTTGTAGTTTGGTGGGGGAACCAGCGCCCTTTGGGCAGAGAAAGCTCAAGACCTTGGTAAACCCCAACTCCCGTGATGCCACAGCCTTGAGCCCTGGCAGCCCAACGTGGGCTCTTTCTGCAGGGCGGGGGAGGAGTGGGGGGACCTAGGCTGGGGCTGGCGGGGGCGCGCGCTGGTGCTCGTGCCGGCCCCTTGCGCCTGCGCAGAGGGACTCACCAGAGGGCGATGCGGTCCTTGGGGTGCCGCAGCCTCTCGAGGCACCCCAGGGCGGCGGGCAGGGAGTGGGCCGCGTTGCGGGCCAGCAGCGCCACCAGGACGCGGGGGGCCCGCGGCGGAGACTCCGGCATCCATCGCTCCTCCGGGAAGTAGGCCCCGGCCAAGGAGGGCAGCAGCCAGGAGAGGAGCAGCGCCAGCCACCGCGGCGGCTTCATGGCCGGAGAGACGCCGCTGGAGCGCTCGCCTGCTTTCTTGCCCGCCGACAAAAAGGGGGGAAAAGAGGAAAACCCCGCCTTAAAGGCGCAAGTGGCCACGCCTGCCCTCGCTACGCAAATGGGCCCAGCGCTGAGGCTTCCCTTTAAGGGAGGGAGCTTTTTTTTTTCCCGCCGACAGTTATTACAAAGTTCCAAGGGCAGCTGCCAAGCTACTTCAGCTTTATCTTCCAGGCTCTTTCTACACTTACAGGGCCTTCCTATACTGCTCTATGGCCCCTTCCACACAATCCCACAATATCTGCTTTGAACTGAGATATATGGCAGCATGGACTCAGATATTCCAGTTCAAAGCAGATATTATGGGGGGCCTTCCACACAGCCCTATATCCCAGGATATCAAGGCAGGAAATCCCACATTATCTGAGTGTGGACTCAGATAACCCAGTTCAAAGCACAGGGTGAGGCAGCATAACTTCCTTTTTTGAACTGGGATATATAGCAGTGTGGACTCAGATAACCCAGTTCAAAGCAAATATTGTGGGATTTTCTGCCTTGATATTCTGGGATAGAAAACCATGTGGAATCATAGAATCATGGAGTTGGAAGAGACCTCATGGGCCATCCAGTCCAACCCTGAACGGTTTGGGACCATCCTACCTGCGTGACCGCATCTCCGTCTACGAACCCACGCGTTCTCTTCGCTCATCTGGAGAGGCCCTGCTCGTGATCTCGCCTGCGTCGCAAGCATGTTTGGTGGGGACATGAGACAGGGCCTTTTCCGTGGTGGCCCCCCGACTCTGGAACACCCTCCCCAAAGATCTTAGACAGGCCCCTACCCTGGCAGTCTTCAGAAAGAACTTGAAGACCTGGCTGTTCCGATGTGCCTTCCCAGAATAGGAAATGTCCAATATCAAGTCCCATAAGCACTTTATTAAAACTAAGATTGCTGCACACTGCACTTGCCCTATAATCCTACATACCTCCTGTCACATCAGCACTTTTAATCTGTACCCATTACTCTGGCCCGGCCCAGTTTTATTGTGTCTTAGTGTATTGTTTATTGCTTGTTGTTTATATTGCTTTAATTGTTTTTAATTTTGCCTTAGGTTTTGTATTGTTGTATTGTGTGTTGAGGCCTTGGCCTTTGTAAGCCACATCGAGTCCTTCGGGAGATGCTAGCAGGGTACAAATAAAGTTTAATAATAATAATTAAAAATAATAATAACCCCCTGCCAAGAAGCAGGAAAATTGCATTCAAAGCACCCCTGACAGATGGCCATCCAGCCTCTGTTTAAAAGCTTCCAAAGAAGGAGCCTCCACCACACTCCGGGGCAGAGAGTTCCACTGCTGAACGGATCTCCCAGTCAGGAAGTTCTTCCTCGTGTTCAGGTGGAATCTCCAGGCAGGTCCTATATCCCAGGCACATTCAGAACATTATAGAACTGCAGTATGCTGATGACAAAGTCATCTGTGCGCATTCAGAAGAAGACCTACAAGCCACTCTAAACACCTTCGCAGAAGCATACAACCTGTCATTGAACATCGAGAAAACCAAAGTGCTCTTCCAGCAGTCACCGGCCATTCCCCCTCCAACGCCAGAAATACAGCTTAATGGTGTAACATTAGAAAATGTTGACCATTTCTGCTACCTTGGCAGCCACCTCTCCACAAAAGTCAACATTGACACTGAAATTCAACACTGCATGAGCTCTGCGAGTGCAACATTTTTCCGAATGAAGCACAGAGTGTTTGAGGACCGGGACATCCGTAGGGATACCAAGGTGCTTGTTTATAAAGCTATTGTCCTCCCAACCCTACTATATGCCTGCGAGAAGTTGACTGTCTACAGACGTCACATGCAACTCCTAGAACAATTTCATCAGCGCTGCCTCCAGAAAATCCTGCAAATCTCTTGGGAAGACAAGAGGACAAACGTCAGCGTGCTGGAAGAAGCAAAGACCACCAGCATTGAAGTGATGGTCCTCCGCCATCAGCTCCACTGGACCGGCCACATTGTCCGGATGCCCGACCACTGTCTCCCAAAGCAGTTGCTCTACTCCGAACTCAAGAACGGAAAAGGGAATGTTGGAGGACAGGAAAAGAGATTGAAAGATGGGCTCAAAGCCAACCTTTAAAACTCTGGCATAGACACCGAGAAGTGGGAAGCCCTGGCCCTTGAGCGCTCCAGCTGGAGGTCAGCTGTGACCAGCAGTGCTGTGGAGTTTGAAGAGGCATGAATGGAGGGCGAAAGGGAGAAATGTGCCAAGAGGAAGGTGCATCGAGCCAACCCCGACCGGGACCGCCTTCCACCTGGAAACCAGATGCATCATCAATGAGCTACAACTCATTCTGGGGAACCACTTAGGCACTTTCCACACAGCTGAACAAAATCCACACATTATCTGCATCGAACTGAGTCCCCAGTGGTGCAGTGGGTTAAACCCCTGCGCCGGCAGGATTGAAGACTTGACAGGTTGCAGTTCGAATCCGGGGAGAGCGCGGATGAACTCCCTCTATCAGCTCCAGCTCCTCATGCGGGGACATGAGAGAAGCCTCCCACAAGGATGGTCAAAACATCAAAACATCTGGGCATCCCCTGGGCAACGTCCTTGCAGACAGCCAATTCTCTCACACCAGAAGCGACTTGCAGCTCAAGTTGCTCCTGACACGACAAAAAAAAATTAATCTGCTTTGAACTGGGATTTATGGCAGCATGGACTCAGATATTCCAGTTCAAAGCAGATATTCTGGGGGCCCTTCCACACAGCCCTATGTCACATAATATCAAGGCAGGAAACCCCACATTATCTGAGTGTTTTTTTAATACTATATGCTAAATGTTTTTAATAGTATTTATGACTGTTTTAATTGTTGTGGCATCGAATTGTTGCCGACTGTGAACCACCTTGTGTCGCCTCTGGGTTGAGAAAGGCGGTATACAAATATGATAAATAAATAAATAAATTTTCTGCCTTGATATTCTGAGATATAGGGCCGTGTGGAGGGGGCCTGGGTTATATGGTTGTGTAGAAGGGCCCATAGACTTTTCACAAGATCTGGAAGGCAGCCTCTATGCATGAATGGAAACAAATCTATCATTAGAAATGGCAATACTCCAAAACCAGTTGCAGAACATTTCCCTGTTTTTGGACACAGTGAGGGATTTATAGATTGCTGCCCTTGAACAAGGAAGTTGCAAAAGAAGACAAGGAAGAGAAACTGCTGAACTGAATTACATGCAAAAAATAGAAACCAGATAGGCTTAAAAGTGCTGCTGTGTATATAGAGAAGTGTCTTGGAATCTGAGGAGCTATATTTTGTCAGAATTAACAGTATTATTGGAGCCTCCGGTGGCGCAGTGGGTTAAAGCACTGTGCCAGCAGGACTAAAGACCGACAGGTCGCAGGTTCGAATCCGGGGAGAGGCGGATGAGCTCCCTCTATTAGCTCCAGCTCCTCATGCGGGGACATGAGAGAAGCCTCCCACAAGGATGATAAAACATCAAATCATCCAGGCGTCCCGTGGGCAACGTCCTTGCAGACGGCCAATTCTCTCACAACAGGAGCAGTTGCTCCTGACACGACCAAAAAAAACAAAACAGTATTATTGCATCTGGGACCTTGTAGGCATACTTAGGCACAGTGTCATTTGTTGGTTCTGATAAGAAAATTAGTCCTGATTTTCATCCCTTGCTCAGTTATGAGAATTAGGAAATGTAATAATAATAATAATAATAATAATAATAATAATAATAATAATAATAAACATCTAGTCACCTCTCAACAAAAGTTTGCTCCAGGCACTGTCAGGGCATTATATGCTAATCAAGGTGGTCAATTGAAACATTCACACCTAGCTCCAGCAGACAAGAGTCCTTTGTCCCACCCTGGTCATTCCACAGATATATAAACCCTTTTCCTAGTTCCAACAGACCTCACTACCTCTGAGGATGCTTGCCATAGATGCAGGCGAAACGTCAGGAGAGAATGCCTCTAGACCATGGCCATATAGCCCGAAAAAACCTACAACAACCCAATAATAAACTTTATTTAATACCCCATCATCTCCCCAATGGGGACTCGGGGTGTAATATGCTGAGGCCAAACCCAACAGCATATTAAAATAAAGTAAAACCAAAACACAATAACAACACAGTAAAATCCATACAACATATGAGTACAAAAAACCATAAAGCAAAATCATACACAATAAAATAACATAACAATGAAACCAAGAACAGGCTCATTTGTCTTTGAAATGCAGAAGTTACTGTTTGTTTTGCACTTCTCTGTTATATACGTAAAATAGAGACTAAAGTAATAGGGCATGTGACATATTTTCCTGGATGTTTGCATAAGCTGATAACCAATGAAGGTTTGAGTGCTGAATTAGTGTTCTGGGGGAACCGGGTTCAAATTCTTGCTTGGCCGTAGAAAATACTGAAGGACCACGGACATGTCGCACTCTCTCAGCCTTAGAGGAAAGGCAGCAGCAAACCTCTTCCGAATAAATCTTGCCATGATCGTTTCTCCTTAAGGGTGCCAGGAATTAGAGAAAACTTGAAGACACACAACAATGACAACAAGGCATAAGGTCATTTCAGCCTAACTCTCAACACTCACTGCATTGAAGAGTTTGGCCTGTGAGTTTTGAATCTGGAACAACATCTGGAAAATCTGTAGGCAGATGTTGACATCCTCAGAAAGGACAACATGAATCATTTTTCAGCTGAACCTCTCTTAAAATGTTATGCCTATGGGTTTTGAATTTTCAGCTTTTTCCCCCTGGAGTTGGGCTTTCATTTTGTTACAAATTAATATATTAATAAATGGAATGGCTCTGGATTACATTTTGGATGATGTGATTTTAATTGATGTTTTAATAAGTTATGTTTTAATTGTTTGGTTTAAATTGTAATTGTATTGATACATGTATGTTTGGCATTGAATTGCAGCCTGTTGTATAAGTCCCTCGATGCTGAGAAAGGCATGATACAAATATAGTAAATAAGTAAATTTAGTGCTTCCATCATTATAGGCAGTCCCCAAGTTACAAACGACTAG